TTAGTTTTAAAGAATAAATAGGGAATAAATTTCTTTGATTACCTTTTTAGATCCAGGTTTAAGTGTTGAGTTCTAAAGTAGTGCCACTTGTAGACCAAAATCTAATCTGGAAACCAAATGAGTTATACAGTTTGGGTGCTTTTCTATAAAAAGAAGAAGTTGATTTTTATACTTTTGTGTCCCATTCTTTTGGAAAGAGAAGGAGGAAATACATGCTTTCATATGCTACAGGATAGCTTTGAGATGCAAAAGTATCTCTCATTGCTTGGGGGAGAAGGGTATTGCTGGAATCATGGGATGGGTAACTTTTCCTAGTATAACCTTTCGTAAGATTTTAGTGTTTTACTGTATGCACATAACTTTAAAAAAAACATAAGCCCCCTCTTTTAAACCCTAGTTTATTGACTCCATATTCTTATAACAACAAAATAAAAATTCTTTTAAGTAAAAAAAAAAAAAACTTTATCATAGGAATTTCCAAGCATATCTTTTTTTTTTTTTTTTTTTTTTTGAGACGGAGTTTCGCTCTTGTTACCCAGGCTGGAGTGCAATGGCGTGATCTCGGCTCACCGCAACCTCCGCCTCCCGGGTTCAGGCAATTCTCCTGCCTCAGCCTCCTGAGTAGCTGGGATTACAGGCACGTGCCACCATGCCCAGCTGATTTTTGTATTTTTAGTAGAGACGGGGTTTCACTATGTTGACCAGGACGGTCTCGATCTCTTGACCTCGCAATCCATCCACCTCAGCCTCCCAAAGTGCTGCGATTACAGGCTTGAGCCACCGCTCCCGGCCCAAGCATATCTTAAAATAGAATATCTCAAGCTTCAATAGTAATGGCATTTTGCAGATTGAGAAGATAATAAAATGTAGCTGTAGTTTGGATACTCCGTGTATCCAGATAAACTACATGCATTTCAGATACATCCTCTGAAAATAGCTGCATATTTATAGCGAATGTTGTATACGTCCTTTGACTTTATCCGAGGTTAGTTTCATAGTCTATAATTCAGTTTCTGGCTGGGGACAGTGGCTCATACCTGTAATCCTAACACTTGGAGGTCAAGGTGGGAGGATTGCTTGAACGCAGGAGTTCTGGGTAACATAGGGAGACCCTTTTTTTAAAAAAATAAATTAGCCAGGCATGGTGGCACCTGTGGTCTCAGGTAGTGAGGAGGCTGAGGTAGGACGATCACTTGAGCCTGGGAGGTCAAGGCTGCAGTGATAGTACTCTCCAGTCTGGGTAGCAAAATGAGACCCTGTCTGAATAAAGAAAGAATAAAAATATGATTCAGTTTATGTGGTATAACTTATATACCATCACACCTTTATAATTGCCTGAGAATACTTTATGGTTAATATGTGCTGTTTTGAAAATTAAACCTGTTTTAGAATATGTTGCATTTTAAAAGTTTTCATCTATATTGATATTACTAGACATAGTTACATAGTATGACAACCCTGCTATACAATCCTATAACGGTGTACCTAACCTAGACTTGGAATTAGTGGTAGTGGCTTGTCCTATTATTGTTTGTTTTGGCATATTTCTCTTTTGAATATGTCACAGGAAAATACGGGAAGAATTACTGAATGTTCTGGGCATTCTCATTCGAAAGGAACACCAGTAAGAAAAAAATCTTACCTACCTTATTTGAAGAGGAGGAAGCAAATTTAACCTTGTTAGCCAATAGGTCACCTGAAGTTCCTGTCCTTTTTTTTTTTTTTTTTTTTTTTGAGATAGAGTCACACTCTCTTGCCCAGGCTGGAGTGCAGTGGCACGATCTTGATCTCAGCTCACTGCAACCTCCACCTCACTTCAAGCGATTCTCCTGCCTCAGCCTCCTGAGTAGCTGGGATTGCAGGTGGGCCCCACCATGCCCAGCCAATTTTTGTGTTTTTGGTAGAGATCTGGTTTCACCCTGTTAGCCAGGATGGTATCGATCTCCTGACCTCATGATCTGCCCACCTCGGCCTCCCAAAGTGCTGGGATTACAGGCGTGAGCCACCATACCCAGTCAAAGTTCCTATCTTTTTTTCCTAACAAGTAGGAAGGCTTTTTAGTAAGGAGTAGGGTCCTGTTCAATTATGTAAATTGTCATCACTTAAGTGTGCTTTTTAATATGTTTAAACCTTTTTTTATGTTTACTATAACTAAATACACATAAGTTACCTGTTTAAACATGTGCCATTAAGAGTTTGATACCGCCAGGCACACTAGTAGGCTGAGGCAGGAGAATTGCTTGAACCCTGGGAGATGGAGGTTGCAGTGAGCTGAGATCGAGGTCGAGCCACTGCACTCCATCCTGGCGACAGAGAAGACCCTGGCTGAAAAAAAAAAAGTTTTGTCACTTGCCTCCTGCTTAATTTTGCATTTTTTAAATAAAGGATTTATGTCTGTTTAACATGGAGTATTTTGACTAGTAGTACTAGTACATTCCTGAAGGAGATCAAATATATATATGCATAGCTCTCTTAGTAGCATGTGTTTAATGAGAAAGTAATGTAAGGATTAGATAGATTAGGGTTGCAGGCAGTTTTGCCCCTTTAAAGCCGTATCTTTTATTTACTTATTTTTTTAATTTTTGCAGAGATGGGGTCTTGCTCTGTAGCCCAGGCTGGTCTCAAACTCAAGTGATCCTCTCATCTGTGCTGGGATTTATAGGTGTGAGCCAAGTTGCCAGACAAAATCTTATTTTTTTTCTACAAGTAAAACATCCTGAGGCTGAAGGTCATTGCTAACTGATACAGCATGTTTTTCTTAGCGCTTTTTTCTGGGGATCTAGCAAGGAATTAGAAACACAGGTTGTTTGACTTTCCTTTTTCCTCCTCTTTATTTTCTGATAGTGTTTTCTGAAAGTCATCTTCCACCTGCCTCTGAAGTTGAGGGGCGGGAAGGAATCTGTTAGAATCATTTAGGGTTCAGTTAGTAGTGTCTCTGGTTTGCATCCTTTTGTGGTTTTGATTTTAATTTCACTATTTGACTAACACTATTTTTACTCTGACTTCCTCAAACACTGTGGGATTTAAACTGTGACAGGTGAAGCTCAGTGCCTTAGGCGAAGGTTTGGTAGAGACTTCGAAATACAGAATTCTTACAAGGTAGCTTAGGAGATATCTTCTTGCTTTTAGGTATATAACTCTACGAACTTTATAGGCCCTACGAACTTTATAGGCCCACTGGAATATTTTCTCCAATTATCAGAAAGGCTAATTATCAATTAAACATATCTAAGGACTCTTTACTTAGAAAAATAGATGTGAGACCCTGTCTCAAAAAAAAGTTAAAGTCAGGAAGAAGTTAAAATTAATGGTTTATAAGGTGTTACTATAACTAAATACATTATAAGTTACATACTTTAAAGCTAGTGTATTTGCCTTGCATTACAGAATATACTTGAGCTTGTAAAGCAGGTTAATATTCTACTTTATTATGATGTTTGTATTAATGGTGAGACAGTTGTTTAACTCCTTGCCCCTATATTCAGTGACTGAGTTATTGTAGCTACACTTTATAACTGAGTTATAACATTTATAACTCAGTGCCAGCACTCATTGAGGGAGAAGAGTGAAGAGAAAGTAAAATATAGTCTTGTAGTCTTAGGATATATCTTATTCAGAGCCTGGGCTGGTTACATTTAAACACTATTAGCAGAAGAGTTTGACAAAAGAATTTAAATAAAATATAGTTAACTTGGCTGATTTAGTTCATAATAGTGACAGTGTTGGTGTCTAGGGAGGGAAACTGTTGCTAGAGGACAAGGGTGACAGAAAGTCTTGATTTATTTTTTCCATGCATTTTCTTGTGTGTGTGTGTGTGTGTGTGTGTGTGTGTGTTGCACCATTTGAATGTGTGTGTGTTGTACCATGTGAATGTGTATTTTTTACCATGTGAATATTGTGTATGTGTGTTTCATACCATGTGAATTTATTACCCTTGGAGGAAAGGGATAAAACTAGTCTGGCCAAGGCTAATAAAATAAAGCCTTCATGTAGTTTGTTTTAGTAGAACTTAATCTGTTACACCAGTTAGTCACCCAGAGTATTAATGACCCACTCTGGTAGAGATTTCCTGCTAGGAACAAGTGACTTTTGTACTTACATACTTAATTGGTTTGCAGAGACCTACCATCTTTAGGTCCACTATATTTGTTTAGCATAATACTTTAGTATTTTCTGAGTGCACAAAGCAAATCTAATCCCATTATTTTCATTGTTAAAATCCTTAAGTAGCTCCCTTTGCCTGTAGAATAAGCTCAGGGTTCTTCCTGGGGTATGTTTTAGTTTGTCAGTCTGGCCGTTGCTTACCTCTCTAATCTTAATTCTGTACTTCCTCAAGCTGATCTTAGACTGTAATGTTATAAAAAGTACTTGTAGTTCCATTAGCCAACCACACTTTTACATCTCTGTGCCTTATCACACGCTCTTTCTTTTGAGAATTCTCTAACCTTCCTCCTTTGAGCACATTGCTTTAGCTATATAGCCTTTGACAAGATCCCTCTTACATGTCTTTGTTTTGGCACTTTTTGCACAGAATTAGAATGTGTTCGCTCTTGCTATTCAAGTTCCTTTATTTAGATCAAGAACTCTGTGACATTTTAAATCTTTTTATGCTTGTAACTTTATTTTTCAGATTCTTAAAACATGAACAGGTAACTACTCCATGTTAAGGGGATGAGAGGACAGGTCCAGTAGTTCCAAGGTCTTAACATAAATCCAGAAACTTAATTACCTCAAACCCCTTGAACCATAAATGCTAGCTTGCAGATGTTGCTCTTTTCTGTAACTCCATCTGTATTCTACTTCTTAGTTGAAACAGTTGAATGCCACGTTTGAAGAGAAGAAGGTCCAGTACTTGGCTATGAATTGTCTCACTTTAACATAATATAGATATTATGGTGACCTTGAAGCATTAATGTTAAGTGAGGATTTGTGTTGATGAACACGTATGAATGTCAAGTCTTTCGAAACCACTTGGTAACATGGTTTATTATTTTTTCTAGCTCCAGAACCTGGGTATCAACCCAGCAAACATTGGCTTCAGTACCCTGACTATGGAGTCTGACAAATTCATCTGCATTAGAGAAAAAGTAGGAGAGCAGGCCCAGGTGGTAATCATTGATATGAACGACCCAAGTAATCCAATTCGAAGACCAATTTCAGCAGACAGCGCCATCATGAATCCAGCTAGCAAAGTAATCGCACTGAAAGGTATAAAAGATTGTGGGTTTTTCTTAAAACTCTTCCTGTGTGGTGTTTTTTTTTTCTTTTGAGACAGAGTTTCACTCTTGTTGTCCAGGCTGGAGTACAATGGCTCAATCTCAGCTGACTGCAACCTCTGCCTCCCAGGTTTAAGTGATTCTCTTGCCTCAGCCTCCCTAGTAGCTGGAAGGCTGTAGCGCCCCACCACCACGCCTGGCTAATTTTTTTATATTTTTAGTAGAGACAGGGTTTCACTATGTTGGCCAGGCTGGTCTCGAACTCCTGACCTTGTGATTCACTTGCATCGGCCTCCCAAAGTGCTGGGATTATAGGCATAAGCCACTGCGCCCAGCCAACTCTTTCTATGTATTTATGCAAGTACAGTAACTAGAGTTTACCTTTTAAGTGTATTGATTAAATTCGGTTAAAGAAAATAGATCTGCTAATACTGAACTTGATTTAAACCACTTTAATGACTTTTACTTGTGATGTTTCTGTGAAATGTCTTAATATAGATTGACTTAGAATGATTTTTAGAATAAATGCATTTAAATTTTGTATCTGATATAAGACTGTGCTAAATATATCTTTCTACAGAGGAAACAAATTAGTGATTCATATTCTGGAATAGAACATATTTTACTAATATTAGCACCTAAACATTGCAGAATTTTGTTATGGTGATACACTTGCTTTTGATTCTGTGCCTTTCTTATACTTGAGGCTTGTGTTTCAGTTATCGGGTTCTAGAAATGGCTTGAATTTACAGTAATTATTAAAAGTGTGTTTGTTTATAGGAGGGTATTAAAGCTCTTAAGTGAATGGTATTTGAGTTTGTTCAGACTAACTTTTTAACTGTCACAGCAGAGAACAGTGCAGCTTAGTCTAAACAGAGTTCAATGACTCTTAGACTGTCAGGGAACCTATATTCCTTTGAACTTCAGAATGAGACTAATTAACCCTTTAAAACAGATGTTCTTAAGAGGGCTCGGTGACAAACTGACTCTTAAGGCATTTGATTGCCTTTTATTATTTTTTATTTTTTGCTTTGTTTTTCATTTTGATAGAAGGAAGAAAAGTTCAAGTTCCCAGTAATTTCTTGATAAATTCGTGGCTGAGTTGTTAGAGGTGCTGAACTTTGACTTCTCTTTATATGATTTAAACTTTGTATGTAGTAATAATACTAGTTGGAGAGTAAGTAAGGTTGGGTAGGACAAGCATATTCAAACAAATAAGTCACTGTCACATATCTAAGATAGAAGCTGATCTCATCTCGAGGAAAAATGGTCCAGCTTTCACACAGGACCAGATGTTCTGTGACAGTAAGTGTTTTACTTCTATTACTTCTATTTAGGGTATTAAGCTTCCTTCAGACTCTTTAAAGAATTTAAATTCAGGTCCTTAGCATTCCCATACCTCTCTATTAAAAGGCCATCATTTAAATTTTGCCAAAATTCTTTTCTATTTTTAATATTGTTGTTATCTTATCACATTTCTTAACGCTTTCTTATGTGTGCAGATGGTGAGTTATCTTAAATTAGATTGTATTAGTTATTGTCCTGTTCTATAAAAAGAATAAATTGAAAAGATTTTCAGAGCACTGTACAATAGCATTACAGATTTGTGCCTATATGTCTGCACTATGGGGTCAAGCTGTCATCCCTTGTCCCCCTTCCCAAACCACCCCACTTATATATACTCCAGCCCCTAATAATCTGGGGGTTGGGGAAGGCAGCAAAGGAAAGTAAGTCATTCCAAAATACTGCTTCCCTCTGAAGCCAGTTTTGAACTCTTTGGCTTCTTTTTATAAACAGGACTGTAACTCTCACAATTCTTCAAGTCTGGTTGTGGTTTACATACTGTGTGGGATGGGAATAACATTCTTCATTTTATGAAAGAAATTTTTACACATGTGGTAAGCAGAGTTGTAGTATAATATAAAGCTGTATGTTTTACCCCCCCCTGTGTCCCCCTAGCACCCCAATCTTAAGATTTTGGTCCTTCAGGAGCCAGATTCTCTGTGGCTCAGGTTTTTCTTAGTCTCTAAAGACTAATCTTGACAGCCTAGTGATAGTTGTGGTCTTTGGCCTCTCTTAATTTATACTAAATCACATTTTGAACTGATGGATTTCAAATTACAAGCCTTTGCATCTGACTCAGTGGACTGTTAACACTTAGGCAAATTTCATCCTTTTTTAACTAAATGCTTGCTTTCTTAATTGGATGAAGCTTGATCTTTGTTTTTATCTCCAGTATATTAACAGCATCTTAAACTGTCCTCTTCCTTTGTCTCCCTCTCCTTTCCTTCAGCACCTCTACCTTCCCTTTGTTACCTTAAACCAGTTAAACGTAGCATGCACTTCTCTCATGTGCTAGTGGCAACAAAACAATTGAAGCAGATCCTCTTTTTAAAAAGCAGTTTTCACAAGATTTAGTCATATAAGAGATGACTGCCTTTAAAAAGTACATTTTCCCCATGTGTTTGTTATCAGAGTTGTTTTGTCTTGTGTACCTGCAACTAAGTTTATTTGTAAAGTAAGCATACTTAATTACAAGTATGAAGGTGCCAGCTTTGTTTTCAATTGTTAAGAAAACTATTCTTTAGACCCCAGTTGGGATTTAGAATTTCATGGAAGTCATTCTGTATGTTTAAAATGTGTTTATTAGAGGTAATATAGTTTTTGCTTAAAGTGTAGATGTAGATTGTTTGCTTAGTCTTAACTGTTACCTCTTTAATGGTTGCTGCTATATTGATGCAACTCCTGTAGTTATTAGTCTCATGATAGAACTATTTTTGTTTGGAAGTTACAGAGCTAGTCTAGGTAGGTATTCATTCTAAACTTTACTTTTTAAATGATTTATCATTCTTGATTTTGTTTTTAGCTGGGAAAACTCTTCAGATTTTTAACATTGAAATGAAAAGTAAAATGAAGGCTCATACTATGACTGATGATGTCACCTTTTGGAAATGGATCTCTTTGAATACGGTTGCTCTTGTTACGGATAATGCAGTTTATCACTGGAGTATGGAAGGAGAGTCTCAGCCAGTGAAAATGTTTGATCGCCATTCTAGCCTTGCAGGGTGCCAGATTATCAATTATCGTACAGATGCAAAACAAAAGTGGTTACTTCTGACTGGTATATCTGCACAGGTAACATTTTAACTAGTTTTTGTTGTTGTTGTCGTTTGGTTTTTTGTTTTTTATAAAGAAGAGGTTTAGAGAACTGTTGTGCCCAAAATGCAGTTTTGAGATTAGGTCTTTCTGTATTCAATCCTGTTGAATTTCACTTATTTGGAAAACTTTTTTTCTCTTTTTCTTTCCTCCCTCTCACCCCTTCTCCTTCTTCCCTCCCTGCCTCCCTCCCTTTCTTCCTTCCTCCCTCCTTTGCTACACTGACATGTAATTTCAGAATACTCTTATCAAGCATTTTTAGCTCTTCTATGGAGATTGAGTAGAAATCGAGTTTCTGTAAGAATGATTTGGGATTTATTATGGAGTATTTACTGCAGAATGAATGCATCTATGTCTTTTTCTTTAAGATGTATATGAGGCACATTTTAAACATTTATGTTAAATTTTAACAAGATAATGTTTGGGCTGATTTTAAGTTGAGAGACAAAAGTAACAAATAATTACAAATCCTGCTAAAGATGACAAAGCATTCTAATTATTTCATTACTTGATGAATCTGAGAGTTTTTAGTTTCTGGGTCCCCAAACATTATTCTCTTTGATCTTTTGTAGCAAAATCGTGTGGTGGGAGCTATGCAGCTATATTCTGTAGATAGGAAAGTATCTCAGCCCATTGAAGGACATGCAGCTAGCTTTGCACAGTTTAAGATGGAAGGAAATGCAGAAGAATCAACGTTATTTTGTTTTGCAGTACGGGGCCAAGCTGGAGGGAAGGTAAGTTTTAGCTTTGGTAATTATTTTAATGAGAACTTGTATTTGGCTTTTTGCCACGAATTAGTCATCTCATTTCAAAATAGCCTTCTCCTTTCCTAATTATTTTTAGTATTCACATTTGTGGTGACTTAATTTGTTCAAATTTTGCGTCTAGTGATACTTGTTTAAAATGAATAATGTTCTTTCACAGCTTTTTCTCTTGGCTGTTTATGTTCTTCATTTTGATTGCCAGAGTGTACATTTATATGCTGTACATCTAGAGAGTTTGATTTAGTAAGTGGTGCACATAATTTTTTTTGTTATTTTTTGTTTTTGTGAGATAATGTGTCACTCTGTTGCCCAGGCTTGAGTGCAGTGGCACACTCATGGGCTCACTGCAGCCCTGACCTTCCAGGCTCAAGCGATCCTTCTGTCTCAGCCTTCTGAGTAGTTGAGACTACAGGCACATGCCACCATGCCTGGCAATTTTTTTTATTTTTGTAGAGAGAGGGTCTCACTATATTGCCTAGGCTGGGCTCAAACTTTTGGGCCCCAAGTGACTTTCCCGTCTTGGTCTCCCAATATAATCTGCACTTTAAATACTCCATATGGCTTGATATAGAGGTAATGTAAACTACAGTTGAATAACATTGCCTTAAGTTAGAGGTTTTCAACCATGGCTACAAGTTGGAATCGCCTGAACAAATTGTAATACTTTGTATATTAGACTTCCTAGTTGCAGGTAATAGAAACAAGGTCTGGTTGATTAGAGCATGGGCTATTTAGTGAAGGATATTGGATGGTTTACAGCAGCCAGGGAGGCCGTACAACCAAGATTGGGAAATGAGGAGAAATAATGGAAAATGGACAGTGGTCAAGATCCTAGCCCACGACCATTCCACACAACTCTGAGAACACTGTCCATAATTGCATTGCTGGATGCTTGGAAATTTGATTTGACTGCTATTTCCACGACCAGAGTAGAATCTCTGAAATCCTAATACCTTTATGTTTCTAGCTCCCTGTTCAAAGTCCAATTATAGGCAAGGTCAGTTGCCCACATTTTATGTCTGAGAGGTTTGGAAAATAATGATTGGGTGCTTCTAAAAAAGAAGGCCGGTTCAACCACCAACAAACTTGTAAAGAGTGTCCTCCCTCTTGTTGTTCCATTAGGAAGAAGAGGGTTTAGATTCTAGGGAGACCAAAAAATTCGAACTTCACCTTTGTTAGGACATGTGTCTCTTTCTCTTGGTAAGTAAGCAGTTTTTAAAAATTGAGATAGAGACTGCTTAAAATATGATCATCTGTAGCCTGTCAGCAGAGAGGAAACAATAATTGAGGAGATACAATTCTGCTTAAAATTTCACAGTAGTCCCTGAATTGAGGAATAATGCTACCAATACCTTAATGTGACAAGGGTAGAAAGCACTGATATTTAGATCTGAATTGATTGAATTTAAACAGAGAAAAACAAACACATAGTTTTAGAAATTAGGTGTTATCCTTAAAGCATAAGACCAGGCTGGGTGCAGTCGCTCACACCTGTAATCCCAGCACTTTGGGAGGCCAAGGCAGGTGGATCACCTGAAGTCAGGAGTTCACAACCAACCTGGCTAACATGATGAAACCCCATCTCTACTAAATTACAAAAAAATCAGCCAGACGTGGTGGCACATGCCTGTAAGCCAAGCTACTTGGGAGGCTGAGACAGGAGAATCGCTTGTACCTGGGAGTTGGAGGTTGCAGTGAACTGAGATTGTGACATTGCACTCCAGCCTGGGCAACAAGAAATTAACTCTGTCTCAAAACAAGAAAAAAAATAAAATAAGGCCAGGACATTATTGAAAAGTTCTCCTAGAAAAAAGTTTCAATGTCATTTTAAATAATATCCGAAAACCTATTTATAGGTTCTTGAGCCTGTTATTTAATATATGGTGCTATATCCTGTCTGCCATGACTTTTGAAGGAAGATGTCAATTTTTTCAGTATGGCTAGTCATCCTAATGAAAGATGAGACCCTACAACATTCATATGGTGTTTGTCTTGGAAACTGAATTGCTTTTTGTCTGAGTTTGTTTCTGGCATGATTAAGAAAAATATATAGTACCTTTTCATTGAGATTATTTACTTTTCTCTTGCCCGGCTTATGTGCAGCATTGGATATTTTAAACCAAAATGCTTTCGTCTAGTTTGTGGGATGTTTGTAATTAGAAAGACAACTCAAATTAGGTATATATATTCCTTCTGTTTTAGTGTATATGTATTGGTAGAGAAGAATTTAACAACTTAGGTAAAATTTCTATTTGGAAATCCTAAACTAAAATTGAAAGCTAGGAGAAAAATACCTTTGTAGGTAATGTATTACCCTTCTATACCATTTATTTCAGGTAGATTATTTGAGGTATGATTATTTCAGATATTCAGCTGGCTTTTTTTTGAGATGGAGTCTCGCTGTGTTGCCCAGGCTGGAGTGCAGTGGTGTGATCCCAGTTCCCTGCAACCTCCATCTCCAGATCAAGCGATTCTCCTGCCTCAGCCTCCCGAGTATCAGCTCATTTAAAAAAAAATGTATTTATCTTGGAATAACATAGATTCGTAGGAAGCTGCAAAGACAGTACAGAATAGTCCCCTGTGTTCATTACCCAGTTTCTCCCAGTGACTACATCGTACACAGCTGTAGTACTGTAGAAAACCAGGAAATTGACATTGGTACAATTGTATGATTCTGTGCCATCTTGTCATGAATAGATAACTATTTTATCACCACAGTGATTTCCCTTATGACTGTAGAGTCACACCCACTCCCCCTTTCTCACACCGTCCCCAGCTCTTGGTAACCACTAATTTATTCTCCATCTCTATAATTTATCATTTTAGGAATGTTACAGAAATGGAATCATACAGTATATGTTGGCTTCTTTTTTTTCAATCACTGTAATGTTCATGAAAGTATTTTTCCTTTTTATTACCAAGTATTCCATGGTATGGATATAACCAAAACCATTTAACATTGATCTCTTACAGAACATGTTGGTTGTTTCCTTTTTGGGGCTATAAATAAAGCTTCCTTGATCAACTGCTAATGTGTAGGTTTATATACATTCTTATTTTCTTTTGAACAGTTACATATTATTGAAGTTGGCACACCACCTACGGGGAACCAGCCCTTTCCAAAGAAGGCAGTGGATGTTTTCTTTCCTCCAGAAGCACAAAATGATTTTCCTGTTGCAATGCAGGTATTTTAAGCAAAATAAATGACTTTTAAAAAAAATTCTCCTCTTAAAAGAAATTAACCCAAAGAGTATTCATGGTAGATATAATTTAAGTGATGCTTAAAAGAATACTCTTTAGAGTGTATTAGTGAAGCTTTGTAAAATAATACCTTGGCCTTTCATGTACAGACATACCTTGAACATATTATGATATTTGGTTCCAGACCACCACAATAAAGTAAATAACCACAGGAAAGTGAGTCATAAGAGTTCTTTGGTTTCCCAGTGCAGATAAAAGTTATATTTACCCTGTACGGTAGTCTACTGTAAAGTATGAAATAGCATTGTCTAGAAAAACAGTATACATATTGTAATTTAAAAATACTTTTGCTAAAAAATATTAGTGATTATTTGAGCCTTTAGTGAGTTGTCATCTTTTTGCTTGTGGAGAGTCTTGTGTCAATGTCAATGGCTGCAGAATAGTCAGAGTGGTGGTTGCTGAAGGTTGAGGTGGCTCTGGTACTTTCTTCAAATAAGACATCAAAGAAGTTTGCTGCACTAATTGACTATTTCGCAAACAATTTCTCTGTGCAATGCTGTTTGGTAGCATTTTACCTACAGTAGATCTTTCAAAATTGGAGTCAATTCTTTCAAACCCTGCCACTGCTTTATTAGCTAAGTTTCTTTAATAATCTAAATCCATTGTTGTCATTCAGCAGTGTTCACAGCACCTTCACCAGGAGTAGATTGCATCTCAAGAAACCACTTTTCTTTGCTCGTCCTGAAGAAGCAGCTCCTATACTATGAGATTATAGTAATTCAATCATACATTTAGGCTCCATTTCTAATTCTAGTTTTCTTGCTATTTCCACCACATCTACAGTTATTTGCTCCACTTTAGTCTTGAACTCCTCCCTCAATCATCTATGAAGGTTGGAATCAGCTTCTTCCAAACTCCTTTTAATGTTGATATTTTGACTTCCCATGAATCATGAATGTTCTTAACGACATCTGGAATGATGAATCGTTTCCAGATTCACCATTACTTAAATTTACTGTGGTAAATCCTTTCCAGATTCACTTAAATTTACTTTGCCCAGATCTATCAGATGAATCACTATCAATGGCAGCTGTGGCCTTATGAAATATATTTCTTAAGTAAGAAGACTTGTAAGTCAAAATTACTTCTTTGATTCATAGGCTTCAGAATGGATGTTGTCTTAGCAGCCATTAAAGCAATATTAATATCCTTGTATATCTCTATCAGAGCTCTTCGGTGACTATGTGCATTGTTGATGAGCAGCAACATTTCAAAGGGAATCTTTTTTTTTCCTGAGCAGTAGGTCTCAACAGTAGGCATAAAATATTTCATAAACAATGCTGTAAACAGATGAGCTGTCATCAATCATCAAGGCTTGTTGTTCCATTTCTGTAGCACAGGCAAAGTAGATTTAGCATAATTTCTTGAGTGTTCTAGGATTTTTGGAATAGCAAATGAGCATTGACTTCAACTTAAAGTCACCAACGTCATTAGTTCCTAATGAGAGAGTCAGCCTGTCCTTTAAAGCCAGGCATTGACATCTCTGTAGATGTAAATGCAGATGCCTAGATGGCATCTTCCTCCCATAGAAGACTGTTTCTTCCACATTGAAAATCTGTTGTTTAGTGTGGCCACCTTCAGTGATCTTACCTATATCTTCTGTTTAACTTGCTGCAGCTTCTACATCAGTACTTGCTATTTCACCGTGTACTTTTATGTTATAGAGATGATTCCTTTCCTTAAACCTCACCAACCAACTTCTGCTACATTCAGATTTTTCTTCTGTTGCTTTCTCACCTCTCTGAGCCTTGACAGAATTGAGGAGAGTTAGGGCCTTGCACTAGATTAAGCTTTGGCTTAAGAGAATGTTGTAGCTGGTTTGATATCTCTCTCCTTCTCTCTCTCTCTCTCTCTCTCTCTCCCCCCTTCCCCCCTTCCTTCCTTCCTTCCTTTCCCTTCTTCCTTTCTTTCCTTTTTCCTTTCTTCCCTCCCTCCATCCCTTCTTTCTTTTCTTTTCTTTTTTTTAAGAGACAGAGTCTCCCACTGTTGCCCAGGCTGGAATGCAGTGGTGTGATCATAGCTCACTGCAGCCTTGAATTTAAACTCCTGGGCTCAATTCATCCTTTTGCCTCATCCTCCAGAGTAGCTAAGAGTAGATAGGACTACAGGCACATATTGCTACACCTGTCTATTTAAAAAAAAAATTTTAGAGACAATGTCTAACTGTGTTGCGCAAGCTGGTCCTTTTCTTTTTTTGAGACTAAATCTATTGCCCAGACTGGAGTGCAGTGGCACAATCTTGGCTCACTGCAATCTGCCTCCTGGGTTCAAGAGATTATCATGCCTCAGCCTCTCAAGTAGCTGGCACTATAGGTGCCTGCCACCACAACCGGCTGATTTTTGTATTTTTATTAGAGATAGGGTTTCACCGTGTTGGTCAGGCTGGTCTGGAACTCCTGACCTCAAATGATCTACCCACCTCGGCCTCCCAAAGTGCTGGAATTATGGGCATGAGCCACCACGCCCAGGCTGGTCTTAAACTCCTGGCCCTAAGTGATGCTTCTGCTTCCGCCTCCTGTGTAGCTGGGACTGCAGACACATACCACTGCACCTGGCTAGTGTATAACATTTTTATTTGAGACAAGGTCTTGCTCTGTCACCCGGGCTGGAGTGCAATGGTGCAATCTCAGCTCACTGCAACCTGCACCTCCCAGGTTAAAGCGATTCTTGTGCCTCAGCTTCCCATGTAGCTGCGATTACAGGAATGCACCACCATGCCTGGATAATTTTTTTTTTTTTTTTTTTTTTTTTTAGTAGAGACAGGGTTTTACCATGTTGGTCAGGCTGATATTTGAACTCCTGACCTCAAGTGATCCACTTGCCTCAGCCTCCCAAAGTGCTGAGATTACACACATGAGCCACCGCGCCCAGCCATGTATAACTTTTTTTTTTTAAGAGACAGAGTCTCCCTCTGTCACCTAGTCTGGAGTGCAGTGGTGCAATCTTGGCTCACTGCAACCTCCACCTCCCAGGTTCAAGCAATTCTCCTGCCTTAGCCTCCCAAGTGGTTGGGACTACAGGCGCATGCTGCCTTGCCCAACTAATTTCTTTTATATTTAAGTGGAGATGGGGTTTTGCCATGTTGCCCAGGCTGATCTCGAACTCCTAGCTCAGGCAATCCGCCCACCTTGGCGTCCCAAAGTGCCGGGATTACTGGTATAAGCCACTGCACCCAGCCTATAACATTTTAAAAGAGAAAAAAACTACTCATTTAGATAGTTACATAAATTCAAAAGTGTAATAGTTTTATTTCTCTTTGGCTGCAAAACATTATCTCAATATGACAAGTACCTAGAGTTTGACTTTGTGGTAATTTCCTTAGATGTGAGAAAATGAGACTGGGATTACATGTGTAAGCTACTGCACTAGTGCACTTTTCTCTGTAGCAGCAAGAAAGCTATTAAGTTTTCTGATCATTTGAGTGTTCACTGGAGTAGTACTTTTAATTTCCTTCAAGAACTTTTCCTTTATATTTACAACTTGGCTAAGTCAAAAGGCCCACCATTCAGCCTATCTTGGCTTTGGACATGTCTTTCTCACTAAACATAAAATCATTTCTAGCTTTTGATTTAAAATGAGAGCTAGAACACATAGAGGCAATTGTAGGGTTATTAATAGGCCTAATTTCATTATTGTTGTGTTTCAGAGAATAGGGAGGCCTGAGAAAAGGGAAAGAAATGGGATAACAGCTGGTTGGTGGAGCAGTCAGAACACACACAATTTTTTTTTTTTTGTACTTTGGGCTCTGGAGTACATGTGCGCATCCTGCATCCTGCGGGATTGTTGCATAGGTACATACATGCCATGATGGTTTGCTGTCTCCATTCCCCTACCCGCATCACCTACATCAGGCATTTCTCCTGGTGTTATTCCTCCCCATCCTCCTCATCCCCACTCCACCCAACCCTGCTGTCCCTCCCCTCCCCTCCACCTCCCCACCTAGCCCTGTGAGTGTTGTTCCCTTCCCTGTGCCTAAGTGTTCTCATTGTTCACCACCTGCCTATGAGTGAAAACATGGGGAATACACACAGTATTTATTGGTTAAGTTTGCTGTCTTGGTGTGATTCATAGCACCCTAAAATAATTACAATAGTAACATCAAAGATCACTGGTCACAGATCAACATAACATATATAGTAATTAAAAGGTTTGAAATACTGTAATAATTAATGAAAACGTGACACAGAGACACTGAAGAGAGCACACACTGTTGGAAAATAGTGCCAGAAGGCTTGTGGATGCAGGTTGCCATAATCTTCCATTTGTAAAGATTCATCTGAACTGCAAAGTGCAGTAAAATGAGGTATGTCTGTAATATGTAAACTGTGCTATCCTGAGTTTTGAATTGACTTTCCTTTTATCAATTTCATTCATATTCTTATGTTTAATGTAAAAGCTTGGGATATTCATATTTAAATGTGCTATAAAAATGAAGGAAACTTTAAATATTAGCTTTTAATTTTTCAAATAAGCCTCTTGTTCTAGAATTTTACCATCTCTAAAATGGAATTAGACTGAATGTTTTTATCTTCTGTTTGTAGATTCATTATTTTACTAAAGTGTTGATTTTCTTTGTACAGATCAGTGAAAAGCATGATGTGGTATTCTTGATAACTAAATATGGTTATATCCACCTTTATGATCTTGAGACTGGTACCTGCATCTACATGAATAGAATCAGTGGAGAAACAATTTTTGTTACTGCACCTCATGAAGCCACAGCTGGAATAATTGGCGTAAACAGAAAGGGACAGGTAAGGAAACCTTGAAACTTAAGCAATAAAATAAAATAACCTGATCATTTGGGAACAATCCTGTACTTTAAAAGAGAAATTCCCCCAAAAATAATAAAAGAGAAAATAAAATAGCACATTACTGTTAGTTTTTTTCCAAAAAGTAAATGGCAACTTTGGATATTAGAAAATAATATGTATCAAAGCATGATGTAAGCTGATAAAAAAGAAAATAATATATACCTAAAAATAGAGTTGTGTATGAATACAGAGTCTCTCTTTAATCCTCTCTCAGAGAGAGAAACTGGTATATTGCCATCTCAGACTGCATATATGCATTACTGTCAAAAGAAGTTATTCTCCATGGAAAGAAACAATTTAGGGTTATATTTGACAGACTCATATTCTTTTTAAGGGGTTTTCTGTTATCTCCAAGGCAGAGCGATTATCAACTACAGGGATAAGAACTCGATTTACATCCCTTTTCCTAGCTCCTTAATTAAGTATTACTAACAATTTCATGTTAGAAAGTGATAGGTTTCAGTACCTCTCATGGGGTGCCTGGAAAGTTAATCAATTTGGTAGGGAAATATTATCTGTTCTAAATTTATGAACTTTGAAAAACCTCTTCACACCATCTAGCAAGTGGTTCTTTCTCTGTCATTTTAATCCCCCCCACCCCCAGATGGAGTCTTGCTCCATCACCCAGGCTGGAGTGCAGTGGCTCAGCCTCGGCTCACTGCAACCTCGGCCTCCTGGGTTCAAGCAATTCTCCTGCCTCAGCCTACCAAGTAGCTGGGATTACAGGTGCCCACCACCACACCTGGCTAATTTTGGTATTTTTAGTAGAGATGGGGTTTCACCATGTTGGCCAGGCTGCTCTCAAACTCCTAACTTCGTGATCCGCCCGCCTTGGCCTCCCAAAGTGCTGGGATTACAGCGTGAACCACTGGGCCCAGCCTATTTTAATATTAATAAGAATATTTTACCAGGAGGTATCTTAATTTTCTGAAAAATGGCTAAAAATTTTAAAACTTAATACTGTTACTGGTCTTGCCTTTTACTTGTTTCCTCCAAATTAGCATTTTTTCGATACTGAACAAAGGAAGTAGATAGGTTTTGTTTCTCCTTGATTCAGTTAATATTTGAAGATGTTACGTATATGAAGAGACAGTTCCTCTAGGGAAAGGGAGTCCATCCCTACCTACCCATGCCCCACCTTAACTCCAGACCTGGCGAGGTGCTTCTGCTTTATACTCCTAGCACTTAGGGTGTCTTCTTCATAACACTTATCATACATACTAAAATTGTTTGCTTAGCTATTGCAGTCATTATTCTTCATTAGAAAGAGATTGTCTTTCTCACCAGTCAGTGTCTGGGACAAAAACAGTTTTAAAAATTCAGTAGCTTTCAGGTATTCAGTTGTAGTGTCTCTCTTAGAAAAATCAAGAATAGGCTGAGCAGGGTGGTTCTCACCTGTAATCCCAGCACTTTGGGAGGCTGAGGTGGGCGGATCATGAGGTCAGAAGATCAAGACCATCCTGGCTAACACAATGAAACCCCGTCTCTACTAAAAATACAAAAAAAAAAGCATGAGCCGGGCATGGTGGCAGGCTCCTGTAGTCCCAACTCCTCAGGAGACTGAGGCAGGAGAATCACTTGAACCCAGGAGGTGCAGGTTGCAGTGAGCCCAGATTGCGCCACTGCACTCCAGCCTGGTCAACAGAGCCAGACTCTGTCTCCAAAAAAAAAAGAAGAAAGAATAAGGCCAGGCGTGGTGGCTCATGCCTGTAATCCTAGCACTTGGGGAGGCTGACATGGGCAGATTGCCTGAGCTCAGGAATTTGAGACCAGCCTGGGCAACATGGTGAAACCCCAACTCTATTAAAAATATAAAAAATTAGCTGGCTATGGTGATGCATGCATGTAATCCCAGCTAGTTGGGAGTCTGAGGCAAGAGAATTGCTTGAACCTGGGAGGCAGAGGTTGCAATGAGCCGAGATTGTGCCACTGTACTCCAGCCTGGGTGACAGAACAAGACTCTGTCTCCAAAAAAAAAAAAAAAAAAAAGGAAAATCAAGAATGTATTGGCCTTTTTTGGTGAACTAGATTAGTGATAATTTAATAATCGTGAATTTTTTTTTTTTTAAGAGACAGGGTCTTACTGTGTTGCACAGGCTGGTCTTGAACTCCTAGGCTCAAGTGATCCTCCTACCTTGGCTTCCCAAAGTGCTACCATTACAGGCATGAGCCACCATGCCTGGACCCTTTTTGTTTCTGCTGTTGTGCTGTTTTAAGATAATGCTTGACCTACAGTGTCTTGAATAATTTCATGATATATTCTTGGGTGATCATAACCCTGATTCTAGGAACTTGTTGATTGTTACTTTCCCTTCCCTCCCAAATTTTATGTGCCATCTGCTTTGAGTAAAGAGATTAGCGTTTACAGTAACCTTAGGACCTCAGGCCTTTCTTCTACTCTTCTGCTAAAGTCTACTAACTTGGCATATCCCCTGAAAGAACGAGTATGTGGCTTCTTTGCATTGAAAAAGCAAATTCAATTAAAGTGATGTTGTAGTCAACATCTGGCCTAAATTCTGAATTTGATAGAACTGAGTACTTTAGAAGACACTGGAACCTTTTCTGTTCCCTGCAGTAGATCTAATATTAGATCAATACTAAATATTGGTTGCTAGAAGTCTGCTAGAACAATCTTTAAGTATGAAAAGGATGAAACTGTAGATTCAATATTTGGGGAAACCTAAGGCAGCAATCAATAGGAAGCTTTAGAAAATGTAGTTGGAACTGGATTTTCTGTTCATCTTTCTCATTCTTTATAGGAGGTAAGATTTGAGTTAAGGTTGGGGCTCAGGAATGCAAATAACTATAGAGAAAGTAATTAATGCTTCCTTTAAATAAGCCTTGAGGATGGAGGTCGGACCAACAGAAATAAAATCTTAGAGGTTAAAATTTCTTCATTTTCCTTGAATGGAGTAGTAGAACAGGCAGGGCAGACTGTTACCTATATATTTGGTTCACTGAGTTCTCAAGTATTTTTTTAATTCTTGTTGATTTGAGGACAGAAATTTTCTATGTTCATTTATTCAACAAATTTGTTTTATGCCACACTAATTGCATATTGCTAGTAATACAATTAAACGAAGACAAGCCCCCTTTCCTCATGTGGAACAGTGACTGAGAATTATACAACTATATTAGGTTGAGAAATGCTGTTAGGGGTAATATGAGTAGTTTATAAGCTAGGGTATTTAACTAGTTCTGCACTGGAGAAAGGAATGGGTGGGTAGAGAAGGACTCCCTTTCTCTACGGCAGTTGACAGTAGTTCAGTTTTTGGGGCAAGCCAGAAAGTGTTCTGTGTGTGGCATTGAGTGTTACGGAAGTTTGAGGGTAGGTAACTTTCCAAACAAGCAATTAAAAATTGGCCTTTACTGATAATTGTATTTTTTTTTTAAGTACCTGCCATGTTCCTTGCATTATGATAAGTGCTTAATGATTCAGTGGTCCCTCCCTTCATTGAGTGTATAATTTGGTCTCCAGGAATGAAAATGTAATTAATGAAAATTACTGAAAAAAATTCTTGTGAAGAAAAATCCTAAAATTAAAAGGAGTATACCTTAAATAACTTCTAAGTGAGCCCTAGAGGTCATTTAGATTTCATAACTTCTTCCGTGTCATTTTCTGTAGGTTATCAAGATTGAAGTCCTCAAGAAGTTTTTGTTTGTTTGTTTGAGACAGAGTCTCACTCTGTTGCCCAGACTGGAGTGCAATGGCGCAATCTTGGCTCACTGCAACCTCCACCTCCCGGTTCAAGCGATTCTCCTGCCTCAGTCTCCTGAGTAGCTGGGATTACAGACATGTGCTACAATACCCAGCTAATTTTTGTATATTTTTAGTAGAGACGGGATTTCACCATGTTGGTCAGGCTGGTCTCAAAACTCCTGACTTCATGATCCGCCTGCCTCAGCCTCCCAAAGTGCTGGGATTACAGGCATGAGCCACCAGGCCTGGCAAGAAGTTTTAAATAACGTGGAGTTGTCTTTCATAGCTCAGTTAAGTAGGAATCTTAATCTTTGATACTGACTATGTTAAGAATGAATAGATGGTATCAAAGCAGTTAGTTTAGACAGTGGAGTAAGAAGTTGTTTACATGATAGGATGGCCATATTTTAAGAACCCCATAATAGCCTAGCACCCTATGACATTTGTTTTTGAATCTTAATTTTTTTTCTCCTTGTCTTCCTTCTTTCTTTTATTATTTTTTAATGGCAGCAATAAAACAGCTGTTAACAATTTCATTACCTTTGTGATACAGTAGTAACTTGTTTTAAACAGATTTGGTATAATTTGTATCCAAATGAACACACTGCAGCTATATTTTATTCTTTAAATTGCAGGTTTTGTCAGTGTGTGTGGAAGAAGAAAACATAATTCCTTACATCACCAATGTTCTACAAAATCCTGATTTGGCTCTGAGAATGGCTGTACGTAACAACTTAGCCGGTGCTGAAGAACTTTTTGCCCGGAAATTTAATGCTCTTTTTGCCCAGGGAAATTACTCAGAGGCAGCAAAGGTGGCTGCTAATGCACCAAAGGTAAAGAGTTAAGAAAATGAAGTTGTCATGACATTAATCTAGTGTTAATATTCTATTTGTTATATTGTTAGAAAAGGAACCAGCTCTCCACAGAGAAACTGTTTTTAGGTTACATTTGGGTTACATTTTCCTTTAGTAGAAGTCTTGTCATTGCCTCTAGATTTGGTTAATTTTCTCTGGATTTGATTAGTTTTTATTAGATTATTGTTAGAAGGATATATAGGTCTAACAAGCCTTTGATTTACCTCCTAGATGTAATAATGTTTAGTTATTTAGGTGTAATACTGTTTGACTTCGTAAATGATAGTTACTGATAAGTTGGACAGGAAACAAATCCTCTCCAGTTTTATGGTGAATAGAGCTGTCAAAAATTAGGCCGAATTTATTCTCATCACTTTTGATGTTACTTTATGGTGGACTGAATTAACACCTTACATTCCTGACCAGTATTATGAAAGTTGTACTTAATATGAACTTAGGATAATACCTAGCTATAACTGTTTTATGATTATAATTATTCTCTTACACATTGACATTGTAATTAAGTTGATTTTTTTTTTTTCTGGTTAATCTTATAACATTGAACCAGGGGTATGAAAGATAGTGACTAAATATTTACTCCAGATGGTGAAGATTTGAAACTTGATAGCTTGATGTGAATAGATGGACTCATTCCTGTAAGACTGACCTAACAGATTGATCTCTACAGGGCGATTAGTGTGCTGTTTGGATCACTTTTGAAGAGGGTTTAACATTTCTCCTTCTTAAAGGGAATTCTTCGTACTCCAGACACTATCCGTCGGTTCCAGAGTGTTCCAGCCCAGCCAGGTCAAACTTCTCCTCTACTTCAGTACTTTGGTATCCTTTTGGACCAGGGACAGCTCAACAAATACGAATCCTTAGAGCTTTGTAGGCCTGTACTTCAGCAAGGGCGAAAACAGCTTTTGGAGAAATGGTTAAAAGAAGATAAGGTACATTAAATTGTGTTGACATAATCTTGTTTTAATTGCATTAAATATGATGTTAGCACGTTAAAATCATTTAGTCTGCACCAGAAATGTCTCCATTACTGCTTGTAGAAACAGAACAAAACCATACATTGCATAAGATTGGTTCACTTATTTCCTTTTGAAAATACATATGTATTTAATGGATAGCGAGGTCATATCTTTCTTTTGTTTAGGTTTTTAAATGGTCCAGGATTCTTGCTTGGTGTTTAAGACAACCTGGAAGTGAATTGCTATCCTTTTGCTTTTGGAAAGCTTAATGTGAGATACTTACCTCAGTATCCATCGTATTTGTCAGTATATGTGACTCACTTGGACGTAGGAGTATACTCTTATCTACCACATTCCACACTTCAGATGCACAGTAGTTCTACCCATACAATTCTCATGTTTTCTTTTAATATTTCTAAAGTATCATCAAACTTAACCATATTTGCTGCTGGTAAACATGTTTGGGTAGACAAGGAAAATGTTATATAAAATGTTGGATCTGGCTGGGCATGGTGGCTCATGCCTGTAATCCTAGCACTTTGGGGTCCAAGGTCTGGGGAACACTTAAGGTCAGGAGTTCAAGACTCACCTGGCCAACATGGTGAAACCTCATCTTTACTAAAAATAACAAAATTAGCCAGACATCCTGGTGGGTCCCTGTAATTCCAGCTACTCAGGAGGCTGAGGCAGAAGAATCGCTTGATCCCAAGAGGCGGAGGTTGCAGTGAGCTGAGATTGCACCACTGCACTCCAGGCTGGGCGATAGAACAAGACTCAATCTTAAAAAAAAAAAAAAAAAAAAATGGATCTTAATAAGGCAGGACAACTAATTAGCAATGAGATACTGTCTCCCAGTGATTCACAGAATGTTAGTGTTACATGGAAAAAATATTTAACTTGGTTTCTTGAAGTTTATTTAAGTACGAACCTATTCTAAAATGTTAACTAGCTTTCTTTACAGTAGGTCTTCTCCATGCCTTTTATATTCACTCAGTACTTATTCAATATTTCTCTTTACACAGAGCATATAATGGTAATACGTTTTCCTGAGCACCTTATTCCTTATGTGGAATAGTGACTGAGAAACAGACAAAGGATGTTGTTTGTTTGTAAGATAACAAGTTTCAACTGTCTGTTAGTGTTAATTCTTTTCACACCACCATAAAAAAAAAAGGCCTTTCTCCTCAAAGTTGTAGTATGGAATTACCATTGTCAAGAACTGAAATGGTATTGTTTAAAGCACTCTGAATAGTGAATAACATTTAGTGTTATTATTCTTTCATCATTAGTATATGTTAGTACAGTTTTTATATTATTAATTCTAAGTCCTTGTGTCCTTCCTGCTGTGTAAGCTTAAATCCAAGTCAAGAAGATGGAACTTAGATCTTTCAGAGATATATAGGTTATACTCTGAGTTCCATAACTGTCCTTATGGTCAACCTTATCTGGCTTCTTCAGTATCAAATTTTCATTTGATAACATTACATTAAAAGTTGCTTTTTGTTTTTGAAAAATTGGGGCCATGTGATGTGAGTCTGATATCTGAATATTCTTCATAGTTAGAAGCATAAGATTCTGCTGTAAAGTACTTAAATTCCTCACAAGGTAGTTGATAATATGTATCCGAATGCAATCTTAGTGGGCCTTTTATCTTTTAAGTAGGATTTGTGGAGAATTCAACTGAGACATTGCTATGACTACAAGATTAAGAGTCTGCCAACCACAACCCCTGAATATTTATAATATATTCTGTAAAACTAAGTACCTCTCATACTAGTTATTATTTATGGTGGACATAGTGTCACCTGCTCATTTCTAAAACAGTTCATGGATCACCAAACAATCTTTTTTTCCTTTTGACAGCTGGAATGTTCTGAAGAACTGGGTGATCTTGTGAAATCTGTGGACCCTACATTGGCACTTAGTGTATATCTAAGGGCTAATGTCCCAAATAAAGTCATTCAGTGCTTTGCCGAAACAGGTCAAGTCCAGAAGATTGTTTTATATGCTAAAAAGGTGAGTTCAGTTAAACAAATTCTCAGCATGAGTTCATTGAAACTGACAGAGAAATTAGCCTGTATTAACTCTTGGTTACTTTAATAATGAATTTTCTTTCATTTTCATTTGCTTCAAAATGTATAAAAATTCTCTTACCCCTCATATCAAATTCATACTTGTTAAATGAAGACAATTACTCTTGCATGGCTTATCAGAATTTAAGAAAGCAGGGCCATGTTTAACATGTTAGAACAAACTTTTGAAATATTCATTCATTGAAAATGGATAAGCCAGGCTAGGTGTGGTGGCTTACACCTGTAATCCCAGCACTTTGGGAGGCCAAGGCCGGCAGATTGCTTGAGCTCAGGAGTCTGAGACCACTAGCCGGGGCAATATGGTGAAACCCTGTCTTTATTAAAAATGCAAAAAAAAAAATAGCCAGGCATGGTGATGTGTGCCTGTGGTCCTAGCTACTCAGGAGGTGAAGGTGGGAGGATCACTTGAGCCCAGGGGGCAGAGGTTTCAGTGAACCGAGATTGCACCTCTGCACTCCAGCTTGCATGACAGAGCAAGACCCTGTCTCAAAAAAAAAAAAAAAAAGAAGAAGAAAATGGATAAGCCAGTTATAAAAACTGACAAGTCCTTTGTTCAAATATATCATCACCAAGGTCTAATTGGGCACCTTAAATTGAAAATGAATTTGTGCTTTCACCAGTAGTTCTATATTAGCAAGATTTTATAGTAGAAAAAGTATTTAAATGCTATAAAATTGATACATAGCAGCAGCATTTAAGTCTTTGTTTGTTTATAGGTTGGATACACTCCAGATTGGATATTTCTGCTGAGAAATGTAATGCGAATCAGTCCAGATCAGGGACAACAGTTTGCTCAAATGTTAGTTCAAGATGAAGAACCTCTTGCTGACATCACACAGGTAATGGCATTAAAATATATTTTGTAGAAGCTGATTGAAACGGAGAGTGGGGGCCAGCTGTGGTAATTCACGCCTGTAATCCCAATACTTTGGGAGGATTGCTTGAGGCCAAGAGTTCAAGACCAGTCTGGACAACATTGTGAGACCTTGTCTCTATAAAAAATATAAAAGTCATCTGGGTGTAGTGGCACATGCCTGTGGTCCCAACTACTCAGATGGCTGAAGTAGATGGATCGCTTCAGCCTAGGAGGTCAAGGCTGCAGTGAGCTGTGGTCGTGCCATTGCACTCCACCCTGGGCGACAGAGTGAGACTCTGTCTCCAAAAGAATAAAAAAAGAAAATTTACAGTTTGTAAAAATTACAGCTTTGTCATTCTATACGGATAAACTTCAAATGTCTTGCAAAAAAAAAGCAAGTTACAAAAGAATGGACAGTCTGAAACTGTCTGCATATAATTTTAAAACATGCAAAGCAACTTATTTAGAGATGTATATGTATTAAAAATATGAAAAATACATGGGGGTGATAAAACAGGATAGTGGTTGCTCCTAAGTGTGGGGAGAGGGAAGAGATGCATATTGGAAGTGTGAGTCAGAGTTCTTCATATTGTTTATGCTATTGTTTTTCAAAAGTTCATAAAAATAAAGGTCTATCCATTTGATTGTATTCTGTTACTATGTAATATCTTGAAATATTGTGTAGTTGTTTTTATCAGAACTCAAAGTAACTATGTTCTTTAGAAGACAAAATTTGTTCTTAAAGCGTTTATATTATCCAAATAAAATTCTCAGGTAAAGAAAGAGTTTGTGCATAATTTTGTCGACATACTTTTCATAGTATCTTTAAACAATTTCTTTAATCTCTTTTTTTGCAGATTGTAGATGTCTTTATGGAATACAATCTAATTCAGCAATGTACCGCATTTTTGCTTGATGCACTGAAGAATAATCGCCCATCTGAAGGTCCTTTACAGACGCGGTTACTTGAGATGAACCTTATGCATGCGCCTCAAGTATGTGTTCTAATGTTTTTTAGGCATGTTTCCAACATTGCTTTAATAATTGTGCAGAGCACCTCAGATTGTTATTCAAAGCTACTGAGATGCCTACTCCTTATACAAGAAAATTTAGCTATTATATATTCTTTTGTGCTTTCTTCTACCAGTTCACTATTAAACCTTAATATGTAATATGGATATTGAATTACTCATATAAATGGGATGGACAATAAACTTACCTTGTTTGTGGTTTTACAGGTTGCAGATGCTATTCTAGGCAATCAGATGTTCACGCATTATGACCGGGCTCATATTGCTCAGCTGTGTGAAAAGGCTGGCTTACTGCAGCGTGCTTTAGAACACTTCACTGATTTATATGATATAAAACGTGCAGTGGTTCACACCCATCTTCTTAACCCTGAGGTATTTTCGTTTCTTACCTAATAGATGGTGTTAGTTGTGATTAATAGGTACAGTGAAAATGTGTTTGTGGTACTAAATATTAATAATTTCATACCTCCATGAGTTTCAACATTGTTTCATTTATTCATTCATTCATTTATTTTGTCTTGTAGTGGTTAGTGAATTACTTTGGGTCCTTATCAGTAGAAGACTCCCTAGAATGTCTCAGAGCCATGCTGTCTGCCAATATTCGTCAGAATCTGCAGATCTGTGTTCAGGTGGCTTCTAAATATCATGAACAACTGTCAACTCAGTCTCTGATTGAACTTTTTGAATCTTTCAAGAGTTTTGAAGGTAATTAGGAGTTTTTGAGTTTGTAAAAAGTACTTAAGATAGCCAAGAAGAGGTATGCTTATGATCAGGCTATTAGAAATTTTGTCTTTCTAAAAATTTAGTTCTATGGGACATTTTAATTTTTTAAGTTTTATTCTTCAATAAATGTTGCCAGGCATAGTGACTCATGCCTGTAATCCCAGCACTTTGGGAGGCCGAGGTAGGTGGATCAGAAGGTCAGGAGATCAAAACCATCCTGGCCAACATGGTGAAACCTCATCTCTACTAAAAATACAAAAATTAGCTGGGCGTGGTGGTGCATGCCTATAATCCCAGCTACTCTGGAGGCTGACAGGAGAATTGCTTGAACCTGGGAGTCAGAGGTTGCAGTGAGCCAAGATTGCGCCACTGCATTCCAGCCTAGCGACAGAGTTGCTCTGTCTCAAAAATAATAATAATAATAATAATAATGTCATCAAGGCCCTTTTATATTGGATCCTAAGGATTTGCAGTGAACAAGACCATCTGTTTGGATATTTTATAGATGAATTAAAGGTAGAATTTTAAGAGAAAAATATGTAGTGATGTTTAAATTGTACAAAATGAAAATACAGGTTGAGTGTCCCTAATCTGAAAATCCAAAATGCACCAAAGCTCAAAACTTTTTGAGTTCAAAGGAAATGCTCATTGAAGCATTTCAGAAATTGGATTTTCAGATTAGAGATGTTGATCAGGTAAACATAATGTGAATCTTCCAAAGTTCAAAAATCTGAAACATGTCTGGTCCCAAGCACTTGGATAAGGGATACTCAATCTGTATTAATGATCAGGTATAATAACATTTTATGCTTATATGTCTGAGTCTTATAATGGCAGGTGATTCTAGCCAAGGGCATTTTGTGGTTTGTCACTATTTAGCAGGATTTCTCAACCTTAGAACTAAGTAGACATTTAAGACTAAACAGTCATTGTAGAGAGGTGTTCCCATACTTGTAGAATATTTAGTAGAATATTTAGCAGCATTCCTGGTTTCTGCCCACTAGAAACTGAGCCCATCAGCTCCAGTTGTGACAACCAAAAATGTCTTCAGACATTGTCAAATGTCACCTGTGAGGAAAATCAGTTCAGTTGAGAACCACTGCTGTACAGGGTACTAACATAATCACTGTTGGGTGACTTAAGTTCTGGTTCCCAATTATCTTTCTCTCCTCTTTTTAGTAGTGCTCTATTGAGAAGGGGTAAGAGATTCCACTAGTTTTTTTTAATTTTCCCAGTTTCAAAATGTTAACTCTGCACTAAATTTACACTGTTTAGTACAGTAGACACTTGCCACATGCAGTAGCTATTGCCATTTAAAGTCATTAAAATATAAAATTTAGTATTTAATTACTCAGTCACTCTAGCCACATTTCAAGTGCTTAATAGCCACATGTGGTTAGTGGCTTCATATTGGAGGGCAAAGGTAAGATTTTCATCATTGCAGAAAGTTCTTCTGAACAATATTGCACTAAATTCTTCCCAAATTATTTTGTATGTTTCCTATCAACTACATATTGAAAAACACCAGGTATTGGGGTCTTCATTTAAAATTTTCCATGTAAGGGCACAGTGGTTTATGCCTTTAATAATCCCAGTGCTTTGGGAGGCCAAGGCAGGAGGATTGCTTGAGGCCACAAACTCAAGGCATAGCAAGACCCCATCTTCACCCAAATTTCTTAAAAATCGTGGCATGCACTTGTCTAGCTACTCAGGAGGTTGAGGCAGGAGGATTGCTTGAGCCGAGGACTTTGAGGCTGCAGTGAGCTGTGATCATGCCACTGTACCCCAGCCTGGGTAGCGGAGACCTGTCTCAATAAAAAGAAAAAAAGGAGACATTGGGTTGAATTGTCCGTTCTTTAGGATTAAAGTGCAAATCCATTTTACTGATCCGATCAATGGAATAATTAGTATTTTTATTGAGCTTTTTAAGCAACCAGTTTATATTTGGGAGTACTCAATATAACAGTTTTTTAATTGCATAAATATTTTTCAGTCATTCTCAAAAGTGTGCCTATGCTTAATTGTAATTACTTGTTTCTTTTAAGGTCTCTTTTATTTTCTGGGATCCATTGTTAACTTTAGTCAGGACCCAGATGTGCACTTTAAATATATTCAGGCAGCTTGCAAGACTGGGCAAATCAAAGAAGTAGAAAGAATCTGTAGAGAAAGCAACTGCTATGATCCCGAGCGAGTCAAGAATTTTCTTAAGGTAAGTGCTTCTGAGTAACGTGTTTTCCGGTTGGATTCCAGATCAGCAGTTCTACAGGGGTTTGGTTGTAGTTCAAAAATATTTTTTCCCTAAATGTGAAATTCTTAGCATTCTTTAAGTTGTGTTGGATTATTTCTTCCAAACATAATGCTCTGTGGTTTCCTTTGAAATACAGAAGGAAATTGGTGAGTAAGAATGGCCATCTGTTTAAAAGAAGAAGAAGAAAAAAGCACTATTTCAAAGGAATTTTTTTAATTTTAATTTTGGATGGAAAAATTTTGAAAAGTGATTTATACTTTCAATGTCATTTTAGAATCATTTAGGCTTTTGAATATTAACATCAGCTTGCCCTTTATATCATTTTGAGGAGGCTCTGTTGTAGACAAAGGGATCTGTTGTCCAAGTAATATATAAGTTAACTCTTTCATCAAGTTTGCCCAACTCTAGAAACTAAAATATTATTCATATGTAATTCATAAATTAAAGGTAAGATCAAACAAAAAAAGCTTAGCTTTGTGACACATGAAATCAGTTATAGAGAAGTAAAGACCACCTGTGTTGCAGGGATGAGTAATGGTTGAGAGATTCTGAACTCTAGAAGATCCCTAAGGGCAGTTAATTTTGTTTAATGTTTAACTTAGCTTTAGCTTTATTCTTGTAACCAGTTACTTTGTGAGGGAAATAAAGCTTTAAAGTTGACAGCTATCTGTAAAAGACCAGGAAAACTACAGAACACTTAGATTACTGCTCTCTCACTGTCTAGTATGCGTGTGTATAACATATATATATATATATATATATACACAAAATTATTCCTGAGACTTTAGAGAAAGTTCTGAAGTATTTTTTTTAGAAGAATTTTAAATTACAAGTGAAACCAAAATGTTTATTGTATAATACAGTACAAAGAGTGGGCTTTTTCTGCTCCCAAACTCATTTGTGCCTGTGGTTGCATTGGCAGATAGTTCTTTTGAAGAATTTACTACCTGGGCTCTAGATTAAATAGCAAAACCCTTTGGGGTTTTAGTGTAATGGAGTAGTCAAAATGTTGAAATTGCTGTACATGTTAGATTAAAAGATACACTTTTCAAAAAAAGTATAGCTTTATAAAGTCTTGGCCATCAAGAATATTCTGGATAACCTAGCTAGTTTATGTTTAGACCAAAACTTTCTGGTGTCGAAAAACCCCTCCAAATGAGAAAGATTTGATATTCTATGCTTGACTAGCATACCCATGCTACTGATTCACTTCCTTCTTTGAGTATCATTACTGTTTTCTTTTAAAAAAACAAACAAACAAAAAACTACTAGATTCTCTGGGGGACAGGGGTTGTTGGGTTTTTTTTGTTGTTGTTTTTAAGCTTTTAAGTTCAGGGTTGCATGGGCAGGTTTGTTATGTAGGCAAACTTATGTCCTGGGGATTTGCTGTACAGATTGTTTTGTCTCCCCAGTATTAAGCCTAGCACCCATGAGTTATTTTTCCTGATGATTTCCCTCCTCTTACCTTCCACCCTTCAGTAGGCCCCAGTGTGTGGTGTTCCTCCTTGTATCCGTGTGTTCTTATCATTTAGCTCCCACTCACTAGTAGGAACATGCAGCATTTGGTTTTCTGTTCCTGTGTTAATACTACCAGATTCTTACATGATTTCTTTTTGTTTTTATTGAGTCCTCAGCTTTTATGCTTAAATGTAACTTCATCAGCTTTGGATTTTAATATTTGAGTTATATATATGGAAGGCAAATGAAATTAACTATTATTTAATTATGACACTCTTGAGTTTTAAATAAATCCTCTAGCAAAGAAAAAAAGAATCCTCTGGGTACCACAATGATACTGCCTTAGGTTTGTATAGTCCATGGGATCTCATCAGATGAAGATTTCCCCTCCAACTTGTGAATTAGGTGCAAGCCTGATGTAGTAGGGGTGTGGCTGTGGATTATGAGCTTTTGCGTCAGTCAGACCTGTTTCAAATTCTACTTAGCTATTGTTTGTTCATTTAGTGTATGTCTAGCTGTTACCTCAGGCAAGTTAATGAATGTACCTCAGCCCCCAGTTTCTTCAACCATAGGCTATGTTTGTTTACCAAATACCTGTATGCTGTAGATGTTTAGGCAGTAACTATTACTGATAAGTGATAAGCCTTGGGAAAAAGGCGGAGTGAGCCTAAATGGGATTTCTGTTAGGCAAGTATTTCTCTTTGATTTCGAGTTGTACTTGACTTTTTGTAGGAATTTACTGCCAGCCAGGATTAGAGGTAGATTTTAGCATCTTATATTTACATAATTTGAGATGGGAGCTCAGTACTGAGATGCAACTATCACATTCATCCTCTGATGCCAGTGTTGAGAATGAACATATTAGATTCTTTGTTAACCTGTAGTACATGGTTACAATGCCTCTTATCACTGTTCTTAATTTTAGAGGTACTAGTTACATGATAATTTACTGGTGTTGTATGTAAACCCTGTGTCATAAGAAAAATCCTCTGACTCTGATCTTGACTATTTGAGTGCCAGTTGTGTGTTAGCCACCAGGAATAAAGAGATTGGTAGAACATAACTTCTCCTTTAAGGTTCCCTGTGAGCAGGGTAAAATTGTGTCATTAGCATCATTTGGCTCATGCCCTAAGTTTGTAAACTGTAAGCTCTCTGTAGAAAACATGTAACTGTTCATCAGACCCATGATCTGCGCCTTGCTACCTTTGATCTTATTTTCTACCTTTCTTTCTTTCCTTCCTGGTTTAGCCTCAACCACACTGGCCTGCTTGCTATTCCTGGAACTCCCCCAACCCTGTCCTGCCCAAGAACCTTTGCTTGTGCCTTGCACTGCTGTTTTCTCATGACCTCCTTTACCTTCTTTGGGTTTCTGATAGAATGTTGTAAGAGAAGATGTCTCAGGTTGCCCTGTGTAAAATAGAACCCATTCCTACCCCATTTTGCTTTTCTTTATAATACCACTGTGAGACATCTCCTTCCACTAGAATATAAGTTCCTTGAGAGAATGGACTTTGCTTCCTTTGTTCCCTGCTGTATCTCCAGTACCTAAGAACAGAGTCTGATACTTAGGTATTATAAATATTTGTTAAATGAACAAATATATGTTGAAGAAAACCTCTGACTATGTTAATATAATTTCAAATTTGATCTTAAAATCTTTAACCATTATAACTGGGGGTTAAATAGTAAGTAATTTTTTAATACTTTAATATCAATATTAATACTTTAATATTTAATATTAAAATTTTTAAATATTTTAAAGTGTTAATAACATTTCTACCATGTATAAAATCATATGCAAACCAGAAATCAAAATAACCTAGATTTTGTCTGCTTTTTAAATCTGAAATTTTCTTTTGGAATGCAGTCAGTATTTCACACAAGTGGAGTTATTTGCCACAGAAGTTTAAACACCTATGCATGAAAGCAGAGTAATACTAGATTATTTGTAAGTGATAAAGTACACAATATTTTATATGTGTGTAGGTAAGATGACTAGTGTGTTTATCCATACTTTTTTGATGTTCTTTTAGTAGGAAAAAAACGACATACTAAAATGTTTACATCAATACAGACAGATTCTAGAAATGATCGAAACAGCTATTAGTGCAGAGTTTCCATGGTGTTAAACAGTACTTGCTTTAGACCTTCGTTAATGTGGAAAATCTGCAGCTTTACAGACATTATTTTCTTTTTTTTTTTTTTTTTTTTGAGATGGAGTTTCGCTCTCGTTACCCAGGCTGGAGTGCAATGGCGCGATCTCGGCTCACCGCAACCTCCGCCTCCTGGGTTCAGGCAATTCTCCTGCCTCAGCCTCCTGAGTAGCTGGGATTACAGGCACGCGCCACCATGCCCAGCTAATTTTTTGTATTTTTGGTAGAGACGGGGTTTCACCATGTTGACCAGGATGGTCTCGATCCCTCGACCTCGTGATCCACCCGCCTCAGCCTCCCAAAGTGCTGGGATTACAGGCTTGAGCCACCGCGCCCGGCCAGACATTATTTTCTAATTTAGGATGGCTAAATTAAAATTAAGATTTACTTTGGTGTTCTTTGGAACACTTCATAGAGTAGTCTTTGTGTTACTTATAATTGAACAACTGATATCCCCTAGTCTCAGGAGCCATTTTATTCTAACCTTGAAAATAATGTTCTTAGTGGCTATCATTGGGGAAAGTTCTACCCTGCTTAATTCTAATTCCCTAATAGACTGTTAGAGGAATCATTTATTGAGGAATGTTTCACTGTGTATAAATGAATTCCTGATGGAAACTGTTGTTTTTTGTGCTGTACCTTATGTCTGTGGAATGTAACAGGACATGTATCAGGTAAATGCCCAGTACAGGTTTTACTTACCTTGTCTATAACATCTTCTGTGTCAATCTATAAGTAGGATTGTAGTTTGGTATCTGTAATGGTAAAAGCAGTTGGCAATTTAAAGATGTCTTTTCTTTAAATGCTGTGGTTTTTTTTGTTTTGTTTTGTTTTTGGTTTTTTTGGCCTTTTTCTTATGGCCACATGTGATCACCATTATGCTGCTCCTTGTAGGCTTTGTTATAATAGAGTATTAGAGGCTGATTGTATAGTTTGGATTTGGGGAGGGATAGAAAATCATTAGTTTGAAACAAATGTGAGCAATTTATGCCATATTTTTGACAATGTGACTATAAAGTTGATTTCAAATACGGTTGAAGTGTTACTACTAATGAAAGTCCCAGTGTGGTAAATTTATCATCTGAGAGGCACTGCAGGCTCAAGTATCTTAATTTGTTACTCTTGTTTTTTGGTAAAGGGTGTATATGAGAAAGACTGGAAAGACCTGATATCTTGCTGTGTGAATCTAAGTATTGCTTAGTAAAATCTTACTGAAACTGGGATGTACACACTCAACTATTAGGACATTTCTTTATTTAACAGAAGAGCCATGTTTGTGTGAGCCTCTCTTGTCAGTGTAGAACAGAGTCTCATATTTTACATAGATTTGATACCTCAAAGAAGGAGAAAATTAAAGCTTCCTTTTGTTTGTCTTTTTTTCAGGAAGCAAAACTAACAGATCAGCTACCACTTATCATTGTGTGTGATCGATTTGACTTTGTCCATGATTTGGTGCTCTATTTATATAGAAATAATCTTCAAAAGTATATAGAGATATATGTACAGAAGGTAAGTAATATGTAGGTAATTTAAAGATATAATCTTACTATTGATTTTATTTCTAATATTCTGGAAATCCTTTTGAAACTCTGTGCTCAATAAGTGTGGTCTGCAGCTTTTAATGTGAGTTTTGTTTGTTTTGAGGCAGGGTCTTGCTCTGTCACCCATCCTGGAATTCAGTGGCACAATCAGCCCATTCTAACTTTAAACTCCTGGGCTCAAGTAATTCTCCTGCCTTAGCCTCCCAAGTATCTGGGACTGCAGGTGCATACTACCATACCCAGCTGCTTTTAATACTTTTTTCCCAAGCAGAATCCTTTCTTGGATTAAAATTCTACATGCTTTCCTAGCAAGCTGATTCAGGGAAGGGAAAAAAAAAAAAAAAATACATGCTAAGTGTGTAAAATAGAGAAGTAGAACTGATACTGTTGAAAAAGTTTGGTGGCCTAGGGCCCTACTAACCTGATGGGCCCTGAGGTATCAGTGTAGAAGTTCTAGACTCCAAAGCAGAGTTTTCAAACCATCTTAAATACAGATATGAGATACTTCACCTTCTAACTGTAAAAACAGGCAGTATTGCTATAATGGGAGCCTTTTTATTAGGCAGTCTTGCATAGTCATCTTTGATTAATTTCTTTGGATTTATCATATGGAACAATGCTTGGGTAACTAATCAATCCAGTAGAGAAAGAATATAGTATATGTGCTTTCAGTACTTACTAAGCCATGAAGTCTTGTTTTTAGCTGGACCTCCTGCTAAATTCCTCTATCTCGTTGCAAATTTAGACCCTCAGTTTATTACTGAATTTAAAAAGTGAACATTAAAAAAAAAACAACTGAGCTTAAAAGAGATAAATGTTTTTTTTTTTTAATTCTTCTTTGCTTTTCTTATTAATATAATGACATTCTTCTGCCCTTTTTTTTTAACCACAGGTGAATCCAAGTAGACTTCCTGTGGTTATCGGAGGATTACTTGATGTTGACTGTTCTGAAGATGTCATAAAAAACTTGATTCTGGTTGTAAGAGGTCAATTCTCCACTGATGAACTTGTTGCTGAGGTTGAAAAAAGAAACAGGTGTAGTACCATTTTAACAGGGATAAGTTAGTCTCTCTTAGCATGGTAATAAAAATACAGGTAGGCATTTGTTCCAAAGCTACTCAATAACATGGAGAATAATTTCCTGAAGACACCAAACGTAAAGGTGATAAACTAGCTGATAGTGCCAGAAAAAAAGTCTTTTTTTCTGAAACATTATAGCTGTCATAGGAAATCTGTTAAACTGGTTGATCATTTTTTTGGCATGTTTATAATTACAGCTATGTGGTTTGACTTTATATGTTTTTACTATAAACTGTGTAGTAAGTCTCCTGTTTAGTTAGGTGTGATAACAATAACAACTAATTCTTTACTGATTAAATAGTGTGGTGTATTCAACCTGAGAAAGCTGATTAAACAAAAACCAGATAGTGTGGTGTTTGTTCAAGAATGAGGCAAAAGTTCCCTGTGCAACTCCTGAGTTAAACTGATGTTTAATTTATGGTACCTTCATATGATAATATATATTTTCAATAGAATATAGTGTAAGTGCTTCTAAAATTCACAGACCATGAAGGTTTTTTTTTAGCTGGAACATTCTAAAGAACTAGTGTTTAGGAAGTACTGACCTCATAAATGAGGTTGGTGAGGTGATATGCTAGTGGAAAGTTCCGCTGTTTATATGAGAAGAAATTAAGAAAGCCTGTGGGATTTAATTTTAACCTGAGTTGGTACAGGTGACCTACTAATTATATTCTTACAATTTATATTAGAATGTTTCTTTCTTTATTTTTTTTTCCCCCCCACAATCAATGCTTCAAATAGAATGTTTCAAACACGGAAAAATTTTGCATTTAAGGGTAATAGAGATATACAGTTAATACTGACTTAAAGGTTTGAGCCTAGTTTCAAGTGATTTTATGTCATAACAATTTAACATTTAAAAAGAGATTCAGTTGAGTCTTAAATCTATTACCTGAAAATAATCTTATTGCATATTCCAAGCAAATGGCAGTTACAGTTAGATAATTTTGTCTTTAAGTGACAAATTATATTCTGAAAAGCTAGATTCACATCTAAGTCACTACACATGCCTTAGCTAATTTTTATTCTTTAGGTTGACATGGCACATACTGGGTTGCACATGTTTAGTGGAGCAGGATTTTTGCCTCTATTTATTAAAATTAAGTATCTTCTCCCTAAGGGGAGTGTTCATAATAACTATGAATTTGATAGCCAAAGTAACAGAATAATGCTTTTTCTTTGGCTGCTGTAAATGTTTAAATCATTGGTAAAAGAGGCTTGGGCCAGGTGTGGTGACACGTGCCTGTAGTCCCAGCTTCTGGGGAGGGTGAGGCAAGAGGATTGCTTGAGCGCAGGAGGTCAGGGCTGCAGTGAGCCATGTTCCTACCACTGCACTCCAGCTTGAGCAACATAAGACTCTGTCTTTAAAATAAAAATAAAATTAAAAATAAAAGGAGGCATGGTCATCAGAACTATCAAAACAAGCTATAGTATAGCAAAACTGCTCCTTGATGGCTACAACTGCTAAACCTAGAGCTTCTAAAGCTACCAGATTTTATTGCCAGTATGTATTTAGGATTTTGCTGTAGGTAATGCTGTATGTTAATTGTGTTAAGAGCTGAAAGAACTCTAAGATAATCTGGCCTATGTAATATCACATCCCCATCCTATCCATAAACAAAATGTTCTAAAGTCAAGATAGTTTGTATGTTATAAAGAAAGGACACTGTGTGAATCTCTAAACTTTTATTCAGATATAAGCAGGTAGGTATATCATACGGCAGATAAATCTGGGAGAGTGAAAATAGCCTTATATGCTTTCTTTTTATTCTTGGGCAACTCAATCATCTTTTGAGTCTTAATTTCCCAATTTGTAATAGGATCGTTGTATATTAAAATTAATGTAAAGCCAGGCACAGTGGCGTGTACCTATAGTGCCAGCTACTCAGGAGGCTGAGGTACTAAGATCATTTGAGCCCAGGGCTGTAGTGCACAATGATTATGACTGTGAATAGCCACTGCACTTCAGCCTGGGCAATGTAGCAATACTCAGGGGGAAGAAAAAAAAAGTATGTGAAAGCACATTATAGACCATAAGGTATCCACATAGTTTGCATGTCAAGAGTACATAATACAGTATGTGTGTGTGAGGTTTTCTTCCCTTTTTCCTAGATTGAAACTACTTCTGCCTTGGCTAGAGGCCAGGATTCATGAGGGCTGTGAAGAGCCTGCTACTCACAATGCCTTAGCCAAAATCTACATAGACAGTAATAACAACCCGGAGAGATTTCTTCGTGAAAATCCCTACTATGACAGTCGCGTTGTTGGAAAGTATTGTGAGAAGAGAGATCCACATCTGGCCTGCGTTGCTTATGAACGTGGTCAGTGTGATCTGGAACTTATTAATGTGAGTAATGCTGACTGAATATGTAAAAAGACGGCTGCATTTTTAAAAACCTGTTATATGAGAGTTTCGAGGTGATATTTTAGATAATATGGGACATTTGGGGATGGTGGGTGCTTTCTTAAAACTTTATTTGGAAATTGTGAATCTGAAAGTGCCCAAATAGTATCTAAAGTCTACCTACCCTTTATTTTGATTGACCTGTTAATGTTTTAACCCCACTAGCTTTATCATTTGTGTTCTCACATTTACACGCAGGCACACATACCATTCATACATATGTGTATACACAAACAGAATTTTTTAACCATGTGGGAATAAGTTGAATGCATCATGGCTTTATACCCCTTCAGACTGTATGGCCTAAGAATAAGGATATTCTCTTTCATTAACCACATTAAAGATACCAGCTTCAGTCAGTTTGACATTGATCGGGTACCTTTAAAAATCTGTTATATTCTACTTTTGTCAATTACCCAATGATGCCCTTTGTAGCAGTTTTTTCCTCTCTGTCTGAGGTCATATATGGCATGTAGTTTTCATGTTTCTTTAGTCTCCTTTAGTCTGGAATGGTTCTTTAGTCTTTTGTTTTTTACAACACTGATATCTTTGTAAACGTTGCTTTTTCTATTTGTAACTGTTTTATATAGGTAAAATTTAAGGCAACATCAAATTAAAGCGAACAATTTTAAAGCGAACAATTCAGTGGCATTTAGTACATTCACAATGTTATATAATCACCTTTATCTAGTTCCCAGTTTTTATCACTTCAAAGGGAAACCCTGTATTCATTAAACAGTTTTTCCACATACCCCCTCCTCCCAGCCCCTGGCAACCACCAGACTATACTCTGTCTCTGTGGATTTGCCTGTTCTCTGTATTTCATTTAAATGTAAAGTCTCTTTAAAAAATAGAATGTGTATCACTTTGAGTTCCTCTGAGGGTTCCTGATGATTAGATTTAGATTATATGTTTCTACCCAGAATACGGTTTGTTTTTCTCAGGGATGTTATATCCGGAAGCACATGATGTTCATTTGTCCCCTTTGTCAGTTTTTAATCAAGTTGTAATATTGCTTCATTGTATAATTGTTACCCCCTTACAGATATTAAACAGTCTGTAAGTAAACACTTAAGACCATGCAAATATCCTCTTAGCCCTTCCTTTAATTTACCATCTATTGATTCTTGCTGAAACCATTCTTCATGTGTTGGTTGCAAAATGAAACTTTTTCCAACTCCAGCAGTTTCTCCACATTTGTTATTTAGCACTCATGCATTAATGAACTCATGGATTTTATTCAGTGGGCTATAATCCATTGTTTTTTATTTTGATGCTCAAATTGTGCCAGTTTTGGCTGGTAAGAACCTCTTTAGTATGTCTTTGTATCATGGGTTCGTTGTTCTTTGAGCACTAATTTATTTTCTGGCACACAATACACCAAGCTTATTTTGTACCTTCTGCAGCCCTGGAAGGTACAAAAGCAGTCATTTCTCTAAGGCACCTTTTATTGGGGCATGGTATTAGAAACCAAGATCTGGGCCAGGTGAGTGGCTCACTCCTATAATCCCAGCACTTTGAGAGGATGAGGCAGGAGGATCACTTGAGCCTAGGAGTTTGAAACCAGCCTGGGCAACATAGCAAGCCCCCATCTCTACAAAAAATTACATAATTAGCTGGGGGAGGTCCCATGCACTTGGTTCCCAGCTACCCAGAAGGCTGAGGTGGGAGGATCACTTGAGCCCAGGACGTCAAGTTTGCAGTGAGCTATGTTCACAACGCTGCACTCCAACCTGTACAACAGAGCAAGACTCTCTTTAAAAAAATTTTTTTGAAGATAGAAGAAATCAAGATCTGAGCTTAGGTGTATTTGCTTGTAGGAAATAGATATATTTGTGTGTGTGTGTGTGTGTGTATATATATATATGCTCACCTATGTACCTAAATGTGCATATACACATGGAAAAATAAACAGAAAAGCTAGGAAAACACTGAAAACTGTGAAGGTGGCCTAGTCCTACCAGATGTTGAAGTATATATTACAAAGCCTCTGTAATTTTTTTTTTTTTTTTGAAACTGAGTTTCACTGTTTCCAGGCTAGAATGCAACGGCACAATCTCGGCTCACTGCAACCTCCAAGTTCCAGATTCAAGTGATTCTCCTGCTTCAGCCTCCCAAGTAGCTGGGATTACAGGTGCATGCCACCATGCCCAGCTAATTTTTGTATTTCTAGTAGAGATGGGGTTTTACCATGTTTGCGGGGATGGTCTCAATCTCTTGACCTCGTGATCCACCCACCTCAGCCTCCCAAAGTGCTGGAATTACAAGAATAAGCCACCATTCGTGGCCCAAAGCCTCTATAATTAAAACAGTGCATTACTAGTACCTGAATCAAAGTCCAAAAATCAATCCAATATCAGTAAGATAATAAGCAGAGTTTAAAGGATAGGAAATAACCTTTAAAATTTTATAAAAAGTATTTTACTTTTTACCTTGAAATTGATCTGTCATATCTTCTTTAGGTTTGCAATGAGAATTCCCTCTTCAAAAGTCTGTCTCGCTACCTGGTACGTCGAAAGGATCCAGAATTGTGGGGCAGTGTGCTGCTGGAAAGCAATCCTTACAGGAGACCCCTAATTGACCAGGTAACATTGGCAAATGTGTTTATGGCTGTCAGTAAAAATTACACATTTTAAACTATGAATGCAATCCTTTCTGATAAACTTCTGTCTGATAAACTTTCTGTCATCGTGTACTCTAATGGATCATATTTAACTATGAAAGAAAGCAATAAAAAGTAGAAGAAAATTAAAATTTATATAGATTCAATTTACATTCATTATATACAAATAAATGTAAATTTATGTAAGTATAAATATGTGTTTATATTATACACATTAAGAAAAATAAAATATATCCCAAAAGACATGACTTAATTATCTAAAACTCTTAGTTCATCATAGTTTAAAAGGAAAATAACAAACAACATTAAGGATTGCTATTATTAACACCTAAGAAGTGGCTAAATTGATTGGAAACTTTCAAGACAACGATAAGTCAGCAAAGGATAAGGATTGATAAGAGAAAATACCAAAGACCATGTGGGTCAGTGTTATATCTTACTAATAAGTATAGAACTGCAATGAGATGTGGTTTTATAGCTAAATAAAATTGAAAACATATTTTAAAAGCTCTAAAAATTGAAGAGTTGTTATAATGATTCTTAAACTTCTCCTAAGTATAAATAAAACATTTTGGGAAAAAAATAGGTTGAAGGCTATTAATATTTCATTCCTTTCCTAGGAAGCATTTCTAAGGAACATTCCCAAGTAGTTACAGAGCTTCCTGGGGGAAGGTTTGGGATGGGAGGAGGAGGGGCCAGAAATCATTGCAGCATCTAGAAAACCATGCAAATAGCCAAAATCAGAAGAATTACTGATACTGTAATTCTACATCTGTGTAGTTGAATTTTGAATTATGTGTAGCCATTAAAGTGATAATGATGGTTGCTAATCTGGATAATGTTTTAATCAGGGAAAAGATAGAAATTATATAATTAATTTTTCAACAGAGTAAAATTATACATATTGTATAGATTTTTGTAGACCTTTGTGTGTAAATTTTTCACACAAAAATTTTTCTAATGAAAATTTGTCAAGTTTTCATTAATGAAAAAAGTGTCAAGTTTTCTAATGAGGGGCCAACTTACTCTTATTTAAAAATCAACTTGATTCTCAGTACTTATGTCCCATATATGCTCTGTAGGTTGTACAAACAGCTTTGTCTGAGACTCAGGACCCTGAAGAAGTGTCAGTAACTGTTAAGGCTTTCATGACTGCAGACCTTCCTAATGAACTCATTGAACTGCTGGAGAAAATTGTCCTTGATAACTCTGTATTCAGTGAACACAGGTATGTTTTCAGAGGGATCTATTGGCTATTTATATTCAGTCTTTATATCCATCAGTTTTGGGAAGGAACAAAAAGATCAGAAAAAGTTGCCCAAATTCTCCCTCTTCTAATATACCCCCTCCTCTCACTCTACCTGTTGAGACAAAAACCCCTCTATTAGTCACAATATTTATTTTTTTATCTGATAAACTTTCAAAACATTGCATTTAAAATATTCCTTTTTTTTTTTCAAAGGAATCTGCAAAACCTCCTTATCCTCACTGCAATTAAAGCTGACCGTACACGTGTTATGGAGTATATTAATCGCTTGGATAATTATGATGCCCCAGATATTGCCAATATCGCCATCAGCAATGAGCTGTTTGAAGAAGCATTTGCCATTTTCCGGAAATTTGATGTCAATACTTCAGCAGTTCAGGTAAATCTTCAGATTACCTAAATCAAATTACTAAATGTAATGCCTTCTATTCATTCGGTATATGCACTGTCCTATGAGGGTGGGCATAATTGGTTGCTATGGCAATAGAAGAGCAATAAAATGCTAACAGCTTCAATGTAATTGCTCTGGGTAAGATTGATTTTACTCTGACCCTAATTTCAAACTTGGGTACTTAGGTCTTAATTGAACATATTGGAAACTTGGATCGGGCATATGAGTTTGCTGAACGTTGCAACGAACCTGCAGTCTGGAGTCAACTTGCAAAAGCCCAGTTGCAGAAAGGAATGGTGAAAGAAGCCATTGATTCTTATATCAAAGCAGATGATCCTTCCTCCTACATGGAAGTTGTTCAGGCTGCTAATACTAGTGGTATGACTTCTTACCTTATGTATTGAGACCTCATAAAATGATTAAGCTAAGTGTTAAGATACCCATTCTAAATTGTAGAAGAGCTGGATACTACATGGTTTCTTGTGAAAACTTTTAGTCTTCCATCTTAGTCCAGATAAAAAGAGGCTGTGTTTTGTGAATTTTTAAGTTCATAAAACTCACAAGTAGGGAAGATGAATTTTCTGTTTTTGAAGTCTCATAAAATCCTGACAGTGCTCTAATCTTACAACTTTAAGGAAAAAGAGAATTCATTTATTCATTTGGTCTGTGATAATACAGAGGTGAAATAATTGCAGTTTATATTTGTCATTCTCCATAACGTTTCCTTGAAAAGGAAATGAATAGCAATTTTCATTTACTTGGGTGAAAAGATAAACTAGGATATTAGAGTTTGGATATATTTTTCTTTTTCTCTACTTAGGAAACTGGGAAGAACTGGTGAAGTACCTGCAGATGGCCCGTAAGAAGGCTCGAGAGTCCTACGTGGAGACAGAATTGATATTTGCGCTGGCTAAAACAAACCGCCTTGCAGAGTTAGAAGAATTTATCAATGGACCAAATAATGCTCATATCCAACAAGTGGGTTTCCTTTTCAGATTTAAGAAAAAATAGCTGCCGGGCGCGGTGGCTCAAGCCTGTAATCCCAGCACTTTGGGAGGCCGAGGCGGGTGGATCATGAGGTCAAGAGATCGAGACCATCCTGGTCAACATGGTGAAACCCCGTCTCTACTAAAAATACAAAAAATTAGCTGGGCATGGTGGCGCGTGCCTGTAATCCGAGCTACTCAGGAAGCTGAGGCAGGAGAATTGCCTGAACCCAGGAGGCGGAGGTTGCGGTGAGCCGAGATCACGCCATTGCACTCCAGCCTGGGTAACGAGAGCAAAAACTCCGTCTCAAAAAAAAAAAAAAAAAAAAAAAAAATTAAAAAAGAAAAAATAGCTGACCTACTTGATTAGCTTAATAGGATCAAAATATCATAACTGAAGAATTCCAAGGAAAAATCTGTAGGAAAACAAATTATTTCTCAGTGTGAAGGTGTGAATTTGTAAAAAGGATTAAGCTCACACTAATGTCTTACTGAATGTGGATTACCTTTTTTCCCCCCAGGTTGGTGACCGTTGTTACGATGAAAAAATGTATGATGCTGCTAAGCTGTTGTACAATAATGTTTCCAATTTTGGACGTTTGGCATCTACCCTGGTTCACCTGGGTGAATATCAGGCAGCTGTTGATGGAGCTAGGAAAGCTAACAGTACTCGAACATGGAAAGAGGTAACCTGAATCCAAGTTAGAGGGAAGCATTAAAGAACTGCTCTTTAAACATTAGTTTAAGTAAGCAGCCATGTTTACATTTGAGTTCACAGAAAGGAAATGTTTATTCTAGGTCTGCTTCGCCTGTGTAGATGGGAAAGAATTCCGTCTTGCTCAGATGTGTGGACTTCATATTGTTGTACACGCAGATGAATTAGAAGAACTTATCAACTACTATCAGGTAATTAACTAGAGACTTTTATATGACTCAGATCTTTTACCACAGATATTCTAGTCTTTAATTGCCCATTTCTCTTGTTCAGGATCGTGGATATTTCGAAGAGCTGATTACCATGTTGGAAGCAGCACTGGGACTTGAGCGAGCTCACATGGGAATGTTTACCGAATTAGCCATTCTGTACTCTAAATTCAAGCCTCAGAAAATGAGGGAGCACCTGGAACTGTTCTGGTCTAGAGTGAATATTCCCAAGGTAACCAGTCATTATAACACAGTAAAGCAACTGCATAGTTAAAACTAATACTTCAAAATATCTTATTCTTTTTAACGCTGTTAACTAGACTTATACTAAAGCAATTAAGACTTTCTTATGCAGGTGCTAAGAGCTGCAGAACAAGCTCATCTTTGGGCAGAACTGGTGTTTTTGTATGACAAGTATGAAGAATATGATAATGCCATAATTACCATGATGAATCATCCAACTGATGCCTGGAAAGAAGGGCAATTCAAAGATATCATTACCAAGGTGTGTACTTTCTTGAGAAGATAAAGGATTCAGAAAGAGAAAGCTCATTAGGAAGTAACTGACTTTTATGTATGAATTTTCCCATTGTAGGTTGCCAATGTGGAACTATACTACAGAGCAATACAGTTCTACTTAGAATTCAAGCCTCTGTTGTTAAATGATTTGCTGATGGTGCTGTCTCCACGGTTGGATCACACTCGTGCAGTCAATTATTTCAGCAAGGTAAAGTAGTGATTTTAAACCAAAGTTTCATAGCAAGGAATTAGGACATATTTGGATAACTTTTGTCCCTGGGACTTCAAAAATATGCTATATTTGTAACGAACTCTTTATTTTAAAGGTTAAACAGCTACCACTGGTGAAACCATATTTGCGTTCAGTTCAGAACCATAACAACAAATCTGTGAATGAATCACTCAACAACCTTTTTATTACAGAAGAAGATTATCAGGTAAAACCTTTTGATTCTTGCACTTATTCTCAAGACACATAAAGTTATGTTTTCCTGTTTTTTAAAAAAGCCATTATCATTTAGGATTGTAAACAGTAGGTGCTTGCATACCCTAGGACCTAAGTTTAGTAAAGTTTCAGGATTGATAAATCTTACTTCTTCTAATTAAATACCAAATTTTCAGAATTTTGCTCAGATCTTATATAAGATACTGCTTTTGAAAAATGATATGATTACTTTATCTCTAACATCTAGATTATAAGTAGACTCAAAAATGTCTTTGATCACTTAACTAGTTCATAAAACTTACTTGGTATTAACTGCATTTATTCACTGCTTTTCTTGCCTAATGTTTTATTAGTGTTTGTATAAACTTGCTCTTTTGAAGGATTTCATATAAACAAAAGTCAAGTAGAGTTACGGTTAAGGTACTTGCTCTTTTTTCTCTGTTTTCTTTGAGGCTCAGTGCATGCAGATCTGTACTGCTGCCATGCTGAGTTTTATCAGAAGTTTCTCTAGAGCGTAAAATCTTGCCCTCCACGCCTGTAATCCCAGCACTTTGGAAGGCCGAGGCAGGTGGATCACGAGGTCAGGAGTTTAAGGCAGCCTGACTACCACAGTGAAACCTCGTCTTTATTAAAAATACAAAAAATCAGCCAGGCATGGTGGTGCATGCCTGTAGTCCCAGCTACTTGGGAGGCTGAGGCATGAGAATTGCTTGAACCTGGGAGGCGGAGGTTGCAGTGAGCTGAGCTCACCCCACTGCACCTCCAGCCTGAGAGTGAGACTCTGTCTCAAAAAAAAATCTTACCCTCCAAATTAGAAATCCTGTCAATTTCATAGCCATTGTTAGTCCTTGATACTGAAAATCTTGGAGAAAATGGCATCTTTACCTTTGAGGAAATCTTTACCTTTGAGGACTTTATTGTCATAGAATTAAGAGACTTATCTTTTGATGCTTGAATCTAAGTGTCATATTACATGTTACCATCTAAGGAGCTCATTGATCGAGGACAGAATATGTTGAACAAAATACTGATCTAGCATTTGGATGGCTTTGCTTTTTTTTTTTTTTAAGGCTCTGCGAACATCAATAGATGCTTATGACAACTTTGACAATATCTCGCTTGCTCAGCGTTTGGAAAAACATGAACTCATTGAGTTCAGGAGAATTGCTGCTTACCTCTTCAAAGGCAACAATCGCTGGAAACAGAGTGTAGAACTGTGCAAGAAAGACAGCCTTTACAAGGTTGATAACGTTGTGGGGCTGGGGCTGTTAAACCGGGCCTGGAATGATGTTACAGGAGACTATGTTCTGGAAATAAAAGTACCGGTTTTGTGAATATGAGGACTGACTTTTAAGGGCTGTCCTATGTTAAGGCCAAACTTGTTTGGGGGGAAAAGGGCCTTTAGCTTATCTGTTCTTTCAAAATTTTAATTTGATTGATACGACTAGGAGGCTTTTTTTCCCCCTTGCAAAACCAGATTTATATTGGAAAGTTTCTATTGTTTTTCTTGGTTTACTAATTCAGAATGTTGGGTCTAATGTTTTTTGACTTTCACTGTTTTCTTTGAATAGGATGCAATGCAGTATGCTTCTGAATCTAAAGATACTGAGTTGGCTGAAGAACTCCTGCAGTGGTTTTTGCAGGAAGAAAAAAGAGAATGCTTTGGAGCTTGCCTGTTTACCTGTTACGATCTTTTAAGGCCAGATGTCGTCCTAGAAACTGCATGGAGGCACAATATCATGGATTTTGCCATGCCCTATTTTATCCAGGTCATGAAGGAATACTTGACAAAGGTAATCACTCTTCTAAGTATATTCAGAACTAGTTTTCTTGCAGATATGTACAATTCTACATGCACATTAATTTTTTTAAATGTTTTTTCTCTAGTATAATAAGTCATTTAATCGATCATAAAATATTCCTGTTCTTTTGAAAAATTTTTTAATAGCTGACAAGACACTGATTGGAAGGGGACCTCAGATGTAGCTGTTTACCCTCAGTGTATTTATGAGGGTGAAAATCTGTATTTGGGTTTTTTTTTTAAAAGAACTATTTGATACATTTTATTTCAGAATAGCATCTTTCTCAAAATCAGTTCTTTTAATTAAAATATTCATAACTAGTATTATAGATTCCCTTTTATTTGGTTGGTTCCTGACTTTTAATGATGTCTATGCCTGTTTCCCCTGGGGAAGCTGTGTGTATATTAACGTCCTGTTAATCTTCACAATTTTTTTGATAGTTTAACCCCTGATTTAAAAATATCATAGGAGGTGATCACATTAAACAAGTTGGGGGTATGATGGCCTTATAAAATTCACTGTTCATCTTAGTGTCCCTTTTTGATGTTAGAATATTTTTTACTCACCCTATCTTTAGCACTTACTAGCTTTCTCTCTGTAGAACATTTTTAAATGGTTTTAGAGGATCCTTTTCGTCAAGCAGAAAACATGCTTAAAATCAGAGTCTCACATCTGATCCCTTCAGCCTGCCTAAGAGGGGAGAAAAGCACTACCAACAACCTCTACTATACTGAATTTTTCCTCAGGAGATACCATTGTGTCTGTTTAAAGTTTTTAAAGAATTAACATTTTCTGTATCTAGCGTAAAAGAAAAAACATGTTGCCTTATCTTAGCCATAGATGAGCATAGCTTCTTAAACATAATGCCAACTTGTGAGACCTGTCTCTAAGCTGCTGTTAACCTAAGTGCTGTAAATTTTACTAGCGATTAAGCTGCTTTCTTTCATACTGTAGCATAAATTCTCCTGCAGTAAGCTTTGAAGTTACAGACAATTCTAAATTTTGCTTCCAGTATGCCCTTTATTTTCACTTCTCTCATACCTTTTTAGTGGTTAGATGTTTCTTCCCTAAACCTTTGTTGCTGATTCTACCTTTTTATGCTCAATATGGAATTTGATTTTTTTTCTAAGCTGCACCTTCTGAATTCCTTTGCAGGTTGATGCAATAAAGGAAAAGGTGAAAGTTGATTCTTTTCCATCTTTAAGTCTGGAGGACTAAGTCTAAGGAATTTGCATGATATTTTTCCTTCCTTTTCTACACTGCTGCTGCTGCTTTTTCCCCCTGATAAATTTTCACTAAAGCCTCTGCAAGTCCCTTGAAACATAACTTTAATAGAGCTGTAGGACATTAGTAGATGTTTGCTACTAATCGGCTAATAGGCTTTAGGAAGGGCAGGAGGCTAATCAGTAGTTGGTTCACAGTCTCTCTTAAATATATTATTAAAAACTGAGTATGGTGAGTTTCCATATTAATTCCAAAGTAACAGGAAATTTCTCTTCCCTGTCAGGGTATCTGGACCATAATAGGACTATGATAATACTTAAATTAAAACAGCCTCTGGTTTTACTTTGTGAGCTTGCCTGACAGTTGTGGAATTTATATATGTATATATATGCCCTAAAAGGCTTTTTGGGGTTTTTTTTTTTTTTTTGGTATTGAAGGACTGTGATCCAGTTTCTGATCTCTTGATTCTTACTAATTTTTTGCTGAAAGTAGACACAAGAGATACTAGCTGCTTCCGAAGAGACTTTCCTCATGTTTCTCCAGGTGTCCGGTTCTTATGGTGCTAGTCCATTAAGAAGAATCAAAACCTTTTTAATCATGAGAGTCAAGCTTGCTATAATTGTTGCTGAGCAACATGAATTATTTCTAACAAAGTATTAACTTCTACTTTCTGTATTAAGGCATACTTCTGAAGCTACCTAAAATTTGCTCTCCTGTTTATCAGTTGGCTCGCCCAAGGAGGTCAAATTCAGGCACCTTTTGGTTGCTGCTTCCTTCATTGGCTTGTCTCCATCCCAGTATAAATGAAACAGACTTATATCTGTTATCAAATTATGGTTAGAAAAGGGTGGGAAGGTAAAGGAGAGTTGAAACAAATTTAAAAGATTTGGGTGGGGGACAATGCCTTGGGATTATGTTGAACCAAACTGGAGTCACCACTGGAACTTAGGGCAAACCTGAGTAAAATGCATTGTGTGTGAGACCCTTCAGCAGCTAGTAAGCAAGGCAGTTAGAAAGCGTGTGTGTGAAAAACAGGTAATTGAACTGCAGTGTTATGCATTGTTTTAAATGAAGCATGTACAACAGTCATTGCAATTACATCATACTATTTTTGAAACTCTTATAGCATTGCTGTGGGCTGTGTGTGTTTCTTGAGAGCCTGTATAGCAAGTCATCTTCAGATCTCACTTCTTGCTTCAGTACTTTTGCCTTTTTTTCATGCACACATACACCAAAATAACTGACTGCATGTTACTTTTCCTCTGCAGCATATTGCAGTCTTTGTGGAAAAGCCTTTTACATTTTAGTGAATTTTCAGTAGTGCAGATGGAACTGAATTCATTGACATGCTTACCTGTAGTTTTTCTTTTTAAATCCAAGGATCAGAAACTTTTGTTACAGCTCTTAACAAAAGCTTGTGTTCTTAAAAGCCTTCTCTGCTTTTTTTTTTTTTTTTTTTTTTTTTTTCCGAGCAATCTAAATTGGATCAGTGGAAACAAAAATCGAATGTCCCTGTGCCAGAGGCTGTCCCATTATATAGAAGAATCAAATTATTTTGCTGAGCTTGATACTATTCCTTCAGAATTTTCCCCCTATTCCCCAAACTTCCTACATCTATGCCGGGGCACTGTGATACTGCTAGCTCTTCTAAGTCTTCCATGTGTTTCTCTAATAGGACTTCTGTGTTCAACATCTGATTCTGACCTTAACTTTTAAACACATGCTCACTTCAGATTATTTTCCTTGAAAGTCTGGAAATGTATTACACGGTGGTAGCTTTTTGGTGGTTTTATTTTTCTTTTCCTTTGAAGTTACTAATGTACAGGCATCCATGTATTTTTCTTTATAACTTCTGTAGCTCATTCTTGAATACTGGTTAGTTAGCAAAGCCCCATCTGACCCTTGATGGCACAGAGCTGTGCTTTAAGTTTTATAACTAATAATTTTTGTTACAAGTTTGGATGCCAAAAAATGGGTATTTATGTCATATGGTACTTATACTACATAATAGTCTTTAATTTGATTTTAGGATAATTTGTAATAGATCATGTAGACTATAAAATAGGATAATAGTGTACAAAAGTAAACTAATCCATCTTCCTAGGCTAGAAAAACCACATTTCATCTGAAGGAGCCTACAGCCTACTTAGGCTTACTTTTCTCAAACTTTCAGTTCCTTAACAAATTAAGATGGATTAGACTCATGTTTATGGTATTTAATATGAAACAATTAAATATAAAACAGTGCCCTAACCGTTACAGCCTACGTGAAGACTGAAAGATAGTTTTTTTTAACAGTTTCAAATAGAATTGAGGTATTGCCTTAATCTTTTTAGGAACTGGTTTTTACAAACTTTTCCACTGACGTCCTCAACTTTTTTTTTTTTTTTGAGTGATTTTTCACTATTTGCCTTTTTGAAGAATATGCAGTGAACATTCATAAAGCGTTCCCCCCGTCTCATCCAGCACATTTATGACCTTGAAAAACGCCAGTAATAAGTAACATTAAGATATGAAATTTAGTTTTACTTAGATACAATAATAGACCAAATATAAGGCTTTGGTTGAGAGACCAGCTTTTAAATACTGAAAGACAAATATAGTGTAAAAGACAATGGAATTTGAATATTGAAGGAGATTTCCCTAATCCCAGGGTTGTAATGTCACTTCTAATTCATTATGGAATTACAGAATCAAGTCATGTTAGCCCTAGAAGAAACTCTGCAGATCATTTTGTTCAACCTTCTCATTTATATAGAGAAGGAAATTTGAGGGCCAGTGCAATGGTTTGCCAAGGTCACACAACAGTTAGTGGAAGGATCTAGGCATTCTAACTCCTTTCTTTCACTAATGCATTTGGACTACTCTACAGAATTACTTATATCTGATACTATCCACTTTGATTTAGGGCAGCTAGCATATAATAGCCATTTACTTATTTGGCTTAATTAAAAGCAAACCTTTTTGGGACAAAAATCAGGCTTTCCTGATTACTTAGATAATAGAACCGACATAGTATTAAAACTTGCAGCCTTTCTTTAGAAAAAAAAAAAAAAAAAAAGATTGAATATGGAGCCACTTGAATCTTAAACTTCAGTCTGCAGCTATAACCAATATCAGGAGAAGCTGTACACAATTGCCCCCCCCCCCAAAAAAAAATAGCTTATTCTGCACAAGTACTTGTCAAGTCACTAGGCTCATTTCACTTTTTTGAATACCGTTTCCTTTGGGGAGGGAAGTATTGCCAGACCATGAATTCATTATTATCTCTGATCTGTTTTAAACTTCATTTGAAAAGTGGTTCCTTCTCATTTTTTCCCTCCCTCAGGCTGCATCCTAGCATGCCCAGTTTTAATCTGGCGTGAGCTTTTATGGCATTTATAAATCCCTCCTTCCTGAGGGTTTATAATGACAGTGCTGAAAACCACCTTGACTGAAGTATGAACATTGCCAGTGAATTTGAGGGGGCCTGAGAATGTTCTTTTTAGTCTGTTTTATTTTGACAGAATTTAACATACTAAGGCTTTTCCACTTTCTGCCATAAACCTAGGTTTGTAATACTTTTGGGGTGCTAATTAACATGATGTGTTTTTCTCCAGGTGGATAAATTAGATGCTTCAGAATCACTGAGAAAAGAAGAAGAACAAGCTACAGAGACACAACCCATTGTTTATGGTAATCTCTCTCTGTAACCTCAAAAAATTCATTAGACAAGTATTTAATTCTTTGGAGACTGTATCTCAAGATAGAATACAACAAGCTGAAGTGCAAAAGGCTTGCTAAGAAATACTGCTTTCTACTGTCTTATTTTTTTTCTGAGAACAGTTGTAAAGCAGGTGTTGATAATATTTACTAAAATAATCTTAAATACAAGAAAACTCAAAAACAGTCATTTAAGATTGTAACATGAATCTTTCCTATCATCTGGTCCCTCATTCATTACCTGCTTATAAATTACTGAAAAAGAAATATTGATGAATTCCATTTTCAAAAGAGCAAAAGGTAACAGAAAATCCCAAGGCTGTCTTTAGTATGCTTTACATGAAGAATACATCCTCATTTTAAATTCTAACTGGAGCAGAGAGTTGGGTAGTGTTCCCATCTGAGAACTTTCCAGAGAGAAGGGATCTTCAAATTCTCAAGTGAACATTTAAGATAATTTCATGTCTTCTTAAACCTGTACGTCTGAACTACTGCCCCTTTCCATTATATAGCTGGTGAACAGATTCATTTGAACAATCACTTTGAACAGTATAGATAGAAGCACAATAACCAGGTGAGGGAACATAAAAATATGACCATTATATCTCAGGCTACTGACACAAATAATAATATATCTATTTATTATGGTTTTATCTCCTTTTTACTGTAGACAAAAGGTGCCTTAGGAATTTAGAGGACAGTATAGTTTTGATAAAAGTAAAGTGGGTTCTTAGAGATGGGAGCAAGATGTTTGACATGTTTGAGATAAGAAACAATTCAAATCCTTAAAGGCGAAAAAGAGATACATAACACAGTAGGAACAAGAAATTGTGGGTGTAATACTTGGGGGTTAACTACTGAATTTGTCTTGCCTTCAGGGTATTTTCATGAGTAGTTAAAAATTGGGTTGGAATTTCAAGTAGATGTCAGTATCAAGATTAGGGATGACTTTTTAAAAACTGGTTTCCAAAAATAATTTGTTTGCTACAGACAGCTTTGGTTGTTACCCACAAAAAGGAAAGACGTCAAGTCCCTTGTGTTAGGAGAAATCTTGATCTAGGTTTACACTGTAGTAGGAGGTTAAGAATGCTTATTTTGTAGGGGTAGAGAGAGGTATTACTTGTTTTTGCTCTCTAAGCCAGGTCCTCTATAGGTCATGTTTTCTGCATATGGTCAACAACTATTTAAACTTCTTAAGAAAGAGGGTCAACATATTATTTGATAGAGGGTATATGTTCTAATGTATTTCATACCTAAAGACGACCTGAATGTGCTCCCCCCGATCCATGGAGTCACCCAAGCTGGGGTGCAGTGGTGCGATCTCAGCTCACTGCAACCTCCGCCTCCGAGGTTCAAGCGATTCTTCTGCCTCAGCCTCCTGAGTAGCTGGGACCACAGGCCCACGCCACCATGCCTGGCTCATGGGGTTTTTTTGTATTTTTAGTAGAGACGGGGTTTCACCACATTAGCCAGGCTGGTGTCGAACTCCTTACCTAAGTTCAGTTATGTTAAAAATGTCAGTTAAGCCAAGCATGGTGGCTCATGCCTATAATCCCAGCCCTTTGGGAGGCAAAGGTGGGCTGATACTTAGGCCAGGAGTTTGAGACCAGCCTGGCCAATGTGGCAAACCCCCATTTCTATTAAAAATACAAAAATTAGCTGGGCATACTGGTGCACACCTGTAATCCCAGCTACTTGGGAGGCTGAGGCACGAGAATTGCTTGAACCCAGGTGGCAGAGGTTGCAGTGAGCTGAGACTGCACCACTGCACTCCATCCTGGGCAACAGGGTAAGATTCTGTCTTTAAAAGAAAAAAAATTTCATTTAAAAAAACAAGTTTTCTTGTGCTGATTTTATTGTGTAATGAAATATAATGTGCATGTTAGGTATGTGTCAAGCATAGCACATCAGGCATATTGTGTTCAATCATAAGTAGTTCTGACCTTTGGCCCTGTGCTGTTTGTTGGCCTTTTAGATAGGAATTTTCTTAGAGTAAGGCTGTCATGCCAAAATTCTGACAATCAAATGTGCCCCCCTTCCAACTCATTTGAATTCAAGGTTGAGATTATGTTGCTAGAGTGAAGGAGACTGGAGTGTTTTAAATGCTAACAATTTGTCCTGCCTCCTTGCCCCTGCCCTCTGCTTCATTTTGTTTTCTTCTACTTTAGGTCAGCCCCAGTTGATGCTGACAGCAGGACCCAGTGTTGCCGTCCCTCCCCAGGCACCTTTTGGTTATGGTTATACTGCACCACCCTATGGACAGCCACAGCCTGGCTTTGGGTACAGCATGTAAGAGGAAAAGCTGATCCTGTAGTCACCTATTTTCGTACTGAAACATCGTCTCTACCCACTTCTGTTTATAATGGAAACAGGCAACGTGTTCTTGTAACCTTTATTTCATGAAGGACTCCTTTTTGTTTCTAACTATAAACTTGGATCACCTATGTTAAAACCTTATTTCACATTCCACATCATTTTAGAATTTATTTTCGAATGGGAATAGTTTCAATGTTGGGCTTTTTTTCTTCCCCATCATTCTTTAAAGAACTGCTTAATATTCAATCTGTTGTGAAGAACCCGATTTGCACTCTGTAGTGTTTAAAGAAAGAAACTCTAATATTGAATCTCTTAAATGTATGTAAACAGCTTACAAATATGTATTGTCTAAATGCATTTAAATCTGTTTTATTCAGAGAAAAGCTAAAACAAAAATACTGGCATATGACCATGCAAGACTGTCAGTGCCAACAAAGACAACACTAATCAGCATATCCTACATTGGATTGCAGTGCTCTCCAGATAATCTGAAAAATGTTACAGACAACTTGCCTGATTTTTAAATGAGCATAAAAGGTCCTCTAAAAAGGCCCTCTAACCTATGCAGGTTTCCCCATTACGCATATAGAAAATGCTAGTATGTTTTGCTCACTTCATATGTAACAGGTGCCCTTATGTTGTGCTGTATCCTGTGCTTTTTCTGTGGGACCATTCCATTCAGGAGCAAAGAGCACCATGATTCCAATCTTGTGTGTGTTTACTAACCCTTCCCTGAGGTTTGTGTATGTTTGGATATTGTGGTGTTTTAGATCACTGAGTGTACAGAAGAGAGAAATTCAAACAAAATATTGCTGTTCTTCAGTTTTGTTTGTGGAATTTGAAATTACTCAAATTTAAAATAAATTACTGGACTGTGGAAATAACATAGAATTGAAGTTTTAATTAAATACCACTCAAAGCATAATAATAGTAGTTTTTGTAGTTTTATATTGGATACCAAGGCATTACAGGGAGGTATGAAAGGAAGAGGAATGAGAAGACACGTGAAGACATTGTGAATTCTGTCAATGTGCATTCCTGTAGTTCATTAATAAGGTACATGCAATAGTCTAAAGAACCAAGTCACTACTTTAGTGGGTTACATTTAGTCTATCCTCCAGTATTTTAACCAAGCGACACTTGAGGTTTTTATCTAAGCATTTCACTTAAATGAACAAACCATGGCTGTTATATTAACTTGAAATAAAATATATTTAAACATGTAATTAACATGCTTTTTCTCATAATGAATTATAAAGGTGCCCAAGTTGATCTTTTGAAAAATTGGTTGTGTGAATCCAGCTCTTGCTTATGACTGAGAATGTTCTTAAAAGTTCATTTCACTATCCCTTAATTCTCAATCGTTACACATAGCCCCTTGCCGAGTCTTGCATTGCTTTACAACTTTCTTAGGCAAATTACCTACCATAAGCTCCAAAGATGTTTTTAAAAACTTAAAATCCCTGTTCCACCCGGTGTGGTAATCCCAGCACTTTGGGAGACCTAACATGGTGAAACCCCATCTCTACTAAAAATACAAAAATCAAAACAGGCGTGGGGTGGTGCACACCCAGCTGTGGCCAGGCAGTGGCTCACACCTGTAATCCCAGCACTTCAGAAGGCCAAGGCAGGTGGATCACCTAAGGTCAGGAATTCAAGACCAGCCTGACCAACATGGAGAAACCCTGTCTCTACTAAAAAATACAAAATTAGCTGGGCATGGTGGTGCATTCCTGTAATCCTAGCTACTTGGGAGGCTGAGGCGTGAGAATCACTTGAACCTGGGAGGCAAAGGTTGCAGTGAACCGAGATCACGTCGCTACACTCCAGCCTAGGTGACAGAATGAGAGTCTGTCACCCTGTTTAGTTTCATTCAGGACATTAAGTGAAACTGTTAAAGTGCAGGTTGGTGAAGAATACAATGGTACCCCTGCTTTGATCTGTGGGAGGTGCCATCAGTTTTCCCCACCACTGCTTTTGCACCATCAGTGCAAATATGAACACAGGGAAAAAGAAAATAATAGAATTATGAAAACATTTTTGACTCTGTGGAGACTCCATGGGTTCTGCAGAGTGTACTTTGAGAACTATAAGATTATGAGTCCTATAAAACACTAAGTACAGATAAACTAGAAAACAAGCACGTATCCACAATTACCAGAACTTTCATAGTATTTCTCCTAATAGATATGCCATGATTGATCACAGTTATTTAGCCACCCCATGCCATCCTGTTGGGAATGCCACTGTCTTTGAATTTGGAGCCATCAGTCTATCAGAGGCAAACCTAAGAAATTACCTGAGCCAGAATCATGCAATTAGCATTGGGTTCAACTCAGTCCTAACCGTTGCATTTTGTTGCATCACTTTTGGAGCCAGTAAACATTGTTTGTTTAGAAATAGTTGCTATTGTGGCATCATTCACAGTTACAATTTCTTCTATGCTGTCATATGCCTGTGCGAAGTGTATAAAATGGATCAAATATTAGAACTTTCAAGACTGTCTTTAGTGTTCTGCCCACAGTATTCCACTAATTACCTTAGACCTTGAGATTGTGTTATATAATGCTGCTTATATTGTAGTTAATGATAGAGAGTTAGAGCCACTTAAAATGGGCCTATTACCAAAATTCTCCCTGGCATCCTTACAGTTCTCAGGGATATACTGATTTTAGAAACTACTGTCAGTATCCTCCTAAAAGAAGACTTTAAAGAAAAACAGTTTCAGGCCAGGAGCAGTGGCTCACGCCTGTAATCCCAGCACTTTGGGAGGCTGAGGCAGGCGGATCAGGAGGTCAGAAGTTCGAGACCAGCCTGAGCAACATGGTGAAACCCCGTCTCTAATGAAAAGAAAGTCTCTAACAAGATGACAATCAGGAAGCTATGTGGCTTGGGAAGTTGGGACCCTCTGCCTCATACTCTGGGTTAACTGTTATAACATTGTAATCAGGATTGTACAACTGTATCTAAAGATTAAGGGGAAAAAAGGCACCCTGAATTGTCTGATTCTTTAAGTTCTAGGAAAAAAAACTAGCAGGGATGACAAACTACATTCACTTTACAGTTCCCATAAATTCTTACCTGGGCCCACTCATTTCCATCTGTAAGGTCCATAAGGTTACTCCACAAGGATCAATGGCTTCACTGTTGAGGAAGGGGGGAGTGAGAATTTTCAATAGGCTGTGATTTAGCATGACTGCTGATAACCTTTAGCCAGTATGTGTCAGGGAAGGTGAACATGAAACACTGCACAGTGTACCAGTGCTATAAAACCTCAACCTTGAGACAAAAATTCAAACAGGTCATAAACCATTGGACTTCATTGAGGGTGGCCATGATCTATTAATAAAGTAGGCTATCAATCATCCAAGAAGCAACAGGAGGGGAACAAACTGCAGCTTGCCTCCGGTGGAAATACCCTTGAACCTCGACCTCCAGTGGGACGGTGGCATAGTCTTGGGGAAGGGCCACCACAGTTTCCTCCCTTTTAATCCAATTGTATCATGACCTGTTTCTCTCATCTGTTTCGGCCTGTCACTTGAACCACCAAGACCACTTAGCCAACAGTACTGTTTTTAAGCTCAAGATGACAACTCTAACTGCCAAGCACAGAACACGGGAATAGGCTTTATTTTCATCTCAAGAACATTTTTAAGTTGGGGGAAGAAATTCAGCTTTTGTCAGAATTTGACAGGCTTCAAACACTTGTGATAGAGGGGCTGTCATCATATCAAAGTCCACTTAGTAAAGTTTTAGGTGACCAGTGACTTTGTCAATTAGGTCTGCTGGTCCTGGCCCAATTCCTAGGACAGTTTGAGAGCCTGGTGCAATTTGAGTACGTCCAGCATCTTGGATTAAACTTACAGTCAGTCCCAGCATTTTCGCATGGGTCAATAACGCAATCAGGGTTTCTTCATCAGGAGCTTTGACCACCACCTTGGGCTGGCCACAGTATTCCCACTGTTTGAGCACTTCAGGATTTCTTCTTTGAATCTGCTTGTAGGCTGAAACAGCAGCATGAGAGCACTGGGCAGCCACTTTCCCTTTTCCCATCTTTAAGTCATTTCGAACCACAAGAATCATCTTGTACTCCCCACTTTCTCCCAAGATGCTTGCTTCTGTTTCAGTCTCTGTGTATGTCTTGATCATCCTGCTTTTGGGGAGCATCCCAAAGCGTACTCGGAGGCTCCAGCCCAGGCATATGCCACAGGCAACTCCAACAGCCAAGCTGAGTGCACTGGGATGAGCCAAATATTCCATAACCAAGGATTTGAAGGGCATCTTAAGGGAAAGGAAAGCAGTTATCACTAGCCAGCAGTAACAACTTAGGCTTATCAGAGAAACATTTTGACTATACACTTAACTGAATGAGGTCATCCAGAAAAAAGGCAAAACGTATCTTGGATCTTATGCCCGCACCCTCTTTCCAAAACCCCCTGCCCCACCACCAGTGTACTAGAAAAAATTCAAGCAACCACGTGAAGCAGTTTAGATCATTTCCCATCTTGATGTGAACAGTTGCATCAAGTTCAAAAACTATTCCTTAGTTTTCCCTTAGTCTTATGGAAATGTTCTGTTTTAGCAAGATGCCTAAAAGATTTAAAGAAACCAAAAGTAACTCACCCCTTTCCTGGAAAACAGTGCTAATCTGAGTTTTCACAATGCAGTGGTTCTCAGTGGAGATGGTATCAAAGAAGTTACCCTCATTACTGTCACATTAACAGGCCTGGAGTGAGGTGCGCTACTGACATTTACTAAGCCTGAGCAAGGATGTTAAAAATCTTACAAAATAAAAGAGTCGTCCCATTGGACATTAGTGCAGCTGAAGAACTTAGTATCTGAGATGAAAACTCCCCAACATCATTTACATAAGTACACAAAATATTTTTTGCATAGTTTTACTATGTACAGGTGCTCCTCGATTTACCATGGGGTTACATCCCAAGTAACCCAATTAATTGAAAATATCGTAAGCCAAAAATGCATTTAATAGACATATAGAACATGACTTAGCCTAGCCTAGCTTAAATGTGCTCAGAACACTTACGTTAGCCTACAGCTGGACGGAAATCATCTAACACAGGCTATTTTATAATAAAGTGTTGAGTAGCTCCTGTAATTTGTTGAATACTGTACTGAAAGCAGAAAACAATGTTTGGGTACTCACCATTATTGTACACAGCTTGAAAGCACAGTGGTCCTGAAAAATGTTTGAAGCACTGAAACAATTAATTGCTGGATGATGGGGATGCTTTAGCAATAGGGTCCTCAATTTCTCTCTCTTCTGATGAACATTGAGACTAGGTGGTAGAAGGCATTGGCACATCAACATTAGTTGATGGTTTAGCAAGCATAGTGGCGTTCTTCAGGAAGACACCAAGTTGTGACTGTATAGCTTGTTTCTTCTTTTCATTATATATCTCTCTGTAGCAAGCAAGAGCATCCTGTATCTGCCTGGCAGCTGTAGGGAATCTCTCATAATTGACATCCGTTTCTTCTAATATCTGCAGGCCACTGCTGATAGCAGCAAATGCCTCTGCCAGTTCCTTTGCTGTGAACTTTCTAGGTGCCGTGGGTTTCACTTCTTCCACTGCCTTAATTCCTTTACTTCTTTCTTCCTCCAGTTCAATAAGCTCCTTATTGCAAAGATCTTCAGCCACAATTATTCTACATAGCTGTTTCTTAAAAGCTATGGCACCTTCATTACCAGCATGTGCTGCCTCACCACTGACCTTCACACTGTGAAAATTATGACGCCTTTTGAAGCGCTGGAACCATCCATGACTTGCTTTAAACATTTGTGTATATGTAGGATCACTGACATGGTCTTTTAGCATATTAAAAAGACTTCTTGCCTTAGCTTGGATCATCAGTATGCTAAGTGGTATATGCTTCTGTAGCTGGTCTTCCATCCATATAACAAGTAATTTTTCCACATCATCAATTGACCCAGCTCTTTTCTTTGTGATAACAGTGGATTTAATTGATGCTGATGATTTCGCTGCATCACTGATTCGTTTCTTATCCTTTAAGATGGTTGAAATTGTGGATTGCGAAAGTCCTAACTCACGTGCAGTGGCCATTACTGGCTTGCCACCTTCTTGCTGGGCAATTATCTTGAGTTTCATTTCAAGAGTAATTGCCTTCCTCTTCTTCGTCTCACCGGGAACAGGAGACACTGATGGACATTTTGTAGACATGATGGAACGTGAAAACACAAAACACAATATCCAAAAAAGCTGGCAACACAGTATAATGTAGAGGATGGGTTGTTTACCCTCGTGGTCACATGGGTGACTGGGAGCTGTGGCTCACTGCCACCGCCCAGCATCACAAAAGTGTACTGTACCACCTTATCACTAGGCCAGAAAAAGGCCAAAATGCAAAACTCCAAGTACAGTTTCTACTGAATGGGTACTGCTTTCACACCATCGTAAAGTTGAAAAATCCTAAGTCAGAGACTGTCCATACTGAATTTTCCGAAAGTGTAACTATCATAAAACAAAGGAATGTCATCCTACATATTTTTAGAAAATCCTCCTACTTCAGCAAAGCTGTTCATAATATTTGCATCACCAATACCTATATCAGTCTACGAATGAGGCTGTTGGATTCACAGTGCTTCTATGTAAAGGTGCAAGCAACCATCGGTTTCTTTTTTGAGTGGAGTATTATCTAAGCATTTTCTAAACATGGGGTCACTACATTTGCAATGCACTGTATTTGTAATGTAAAGTGGTGCCCTTGGAATCATCATGCAGTGCCTGATTGGCACAGCACAGATGACAGCCATGGAAGTACTTACAAAAGTTAGAACATTATATTAACAACAGCCATGGAAGTACTTACAAAAGTTAGAACATTATATTAACATTCTTTCCACTAATTTTAACATAAAAGGGGTTATTGTCTTTGGGGGATAGAAATTAGTTTGAAGTGGGGTCAAGAGACAGAGCAAAAAGAAAAAGAAATGGATATAAGGCGAAGAGCATATTTAAATGTTAATGGGATGGAGCCAGAGGAAAGGTAGGTAAATGCTCAAGATAGAGAAGGCCTTTACAAAGGAATTTGGTCTTGGAAAGGGGCACCCTTCCCAATTTGAGTTTTAAATCAGGCAGGTCCCTGGATTTGAAGGCAGGAAGGGATTCCCTCGAGGGAAGGAGCTCAGACAGAAGTTAAAATGGAGAAGAGAAAGGCTGAAATAAAAGGTGTGGCAAAATATGGTAGGATGGCAGAAGAGTGTTGAAAGCATGGTTAAGATTAATGATGACTTTTTAATCGCAACATACTATTTGTGATTTTCTCCAGTACTACTTAGGAGCTAAAAAAGACTAAACCTACTGATCCCTTCCTCCAAACATACAAACTAACCTCCATCCACACTCATCCTTCACCTTCCCCTCCTACTAGAATGGATAGTTGGATGTACCCGGGTTTAAATTTTGCCAGGCGCAAGCACCAAGACACAATGGTACAAGGAAATTTAGGATGAGGGCGAGAATGTTTGACATGCCAGACCGTGCAACCTGTATTATTATTTTTTTTCTCTTTTGGCCTACCTGATAAAAAGCAACCTGTATTATCAAAGACTGATTTATGGACAACGAAGTGATGGATGCCGTTTACCTAGACATGCTGTTGAAGAACAGGTGTGATGAAAGTAAGCTGTTAAGACTTAGAGAAGTTCATGGGGTTCTGATTTTGGAGATGAACAATTATAAAGAGATACAAAGCCCAGGGCATAGCTATAAGAATAGGCATCTGAAATGTAACTGTGGCCCCTTTCTCCTTTCTCAGTTCTTTCAGTTTTGTGAGACACTGCTTCCCTTCCACACATACCGGCCGGACCTGTCCTAGGGTTTAGGTGACACAGGAAGGCAAAAAGCACAAAGTCTTTTCTCTAATGAAACGGCAGTGGTTTTGAAATGGTCCAATCCTAATTTTGAATTTCTTTCATTCTGTTTTAAAACTGTGTTTCTATAGCTCAAAGTTTCCACAATACTTTGACATGTGTTGTGCTATTTGATCCACATAACACTGAGAAGCGAGGATTACGGCAATATCAAAAATGAAGAAGTTCAGACCAAGGGAAGTTCAATAAAACAAATGCTATATGCCAGCCACGCACCTTGTTAAGCTGAGGATATAGTGATGAATACAGGCCATTGTCAGCTGTTCGTAGACGAGTAGTAAATGTAATAAAAAGGTGTTCGACAGTCTCACTGGGGGTGAGACGGGGGAGGCAGGGACAGAACATTAGATTCTCATAAGAAACGCACAATTTAGACCCCTCGCATAGGCAGTTCACAATAGGGTTCACACTCCTATGAGAATCTAATGCTGCCGCTAATCTGACAGGAGATGGTGCTCAGGAGGTAATTCAAGCAATGGGGAGCGGCTGCAAATACAGATGAAACTTCACTCACTTGCCCACGGCTCACCTCCTGCTATGCAGCCCAGTTCCTAACAGACCACGGGGACCCCTGGTCTAAAAGATACTTGGGACTTCAAGGTAAAGAATGAACTGGATGTTGGCAGTAGATACAGGAGGATCATTTCAGAGGCTGCTATAATGTATGTAATAAGTTAACATTTATGATATTTTGCTATACACTGGCTAAACACTACAGGAACTGTCTTTTTTAATGCTCCCAACAGCACTTCAAGGTTAATAAAATTGGTCATGGACTTACTGTAGGTTTGCTTAAGTTTCTTGGCTTTACAATGGTTCAAAAGCAATACACATTCAGTAGAAACTTTAAGTACCCATACAAACATTGTTTTTCACCTTCAGTGCAGTATTCAATGAATTACATGAAATATTCAACACTTGCAGGCCTTCTATGAGATGATTTTGCCCTACTGTACACTAATAAATTGTTCTGAGCATGTTTAAGGTAGGCTAGACTAAGCTACGATGTTTGGTAGAGTAGGTGTATTAAATTTATTTCCAACTTACGATATTTCTTTTTCTAAGAAAGGGTTTCACTCTTTTGCATAGGCTGGAGTACAGTGATGTGATCATAGCTCACTGTAGCCTCAAACTCCTGAGCTGAAGCAATCTTTCCACCTCAACCTCCCCAGTAGCTGGAACTGTAAGCAAACACCACCATACCCAGCTTATTAAAAAAATTTTTTTCAGACAGGAGTTTCATTATGTTGCAGGCTGGTCTTGAACTTTGGTGACCTCAGCCTCCCAGGTAGCTGGAATTACAGGCATGAGCCACTGTGCCTGGCTCTCAATTTATGGTATTTTCAATTTGTGATGGGTTTGTCAGGATATAACCCCACCCTAAATTGAGAAGCATCTGTACATAATTATGACCCCCATTTTTCAGATGCAGAAAATGGAGGTACAAAAGTTACAGCTTGTCTAAATTCACCCAGCTCACAAGCGGCCATCTTAATCCAGGGTGCCATCCCCCACCCTTTTTTTTTTTTTTTGAGATGGAGTCTTGATCTTGTTGCCCAGGCTATGTGCAATGGCTGAATCACAGCAACCTCCGCCTCACAGGTTCAAGCCATTCTCCTGCCTCCACCTCCCAAGCAGCTGAGATCATAGACACCCACCACCATGCCTGGCTAATTTTCTGTATTTTTAGTAGAGATGGGCTTTCACCATGCTGGCCAGGCTGGTCTCAAACTCCTGACCTCAGGGGATCCACCTGCGTCAGCCTCCCAAAGTGCTGGGATTATAGGCATGAGCTAAGCCACAACACCCTGTCAAGCCCTTGTTCTTTTTCTTTTTTTTTTTTGGAGATGTAGTCTCGCTTTGTTGCCCAGGCTGGAGTACAGTGGCATCATCTTGGTTCACTGCAACCTTCACCTCCCGGGTTCAAGCAATTCTCCAGCCTCAGCCTCCCGAGTAGCTGGGACTATAGGTTCATGCTACCACGCCCGTCTAATTTTTTTTTTTTTTTTTAGTATTTTTAGTGGAGACAGGGTTTCACTATGTTGGCCAGGATGGTCTCGATCTCCTGACCTTGTGATCCACCCGCCTCGGCCTCCCAAAGTGCTGCGATTACAAGCGTGAGCCACCAGGCCCAGCCACCCTTGTGCTTCACATGACTATATTATGCCTTTCCCAACAGTCCAGATGAGACGATGATCATTTAGACAACAGTAGTGAGAATGGGAAAGAAAAACAGTGACTAAGGCATACCTGTCTGATTTCGTGACTGATGGGAAGTCTGGTGATAAAAGAAAGGGAGAAGTTAAGAATGACACCTAGATTTGAACAAATGGAGAATGTTGGTAAAATACCAGGTTTGAATGGAAAAGATAATGAATTAGTTTTGTTTTGAACAAAAGACATCTCAGAGACACCTAGAAAGAAGCAGCAAAAAAAAAGGATATATCAGCTTAAAGGAGAGAACGGCCTAGGACACATCAGTCTAAAGTCAGAAAGGTCTGGGCTGGAAATACAGATCTGAGAGGCCTCACCACATAAAGTTACTGAAGAGATGAAAGGGTATGAGGCCACTTGGACAAGTATGTAGAATAAAGAACTAAAACATAATCCTGAGGAAATGAACAGTAGGAATCAAGGGAGACGGACACGGAGTGGCCAGAAGTACGCGGGTCACATAGGGTAAGCTGCAGAGCACCTAGTTTCAGTACTCTCCTGCTCAAGTGCCTAACTATGGTGACAGGGCTGCACAGACATAGTACTTTATGGTTCTAGTGCCTTTTCAGACCCCAACCCCCCAAAAAGACAAAGCAACAAAGAGAGAGAGAATTCCTAATAGAAAACGTTTTGAAAACCCACATTATCTCCATTTTTGTTTTTGTTTTTTGAGACAGAGTCTCACTCCATCACCCAGGCTGGCGTGCAGTGGCATGATCTCGGCTCGCTGCAACCTCCACCTCCCTGGTTCAAGCAATTCTCCTGCCTCAGCCTCCCAATAGCTGGGATTACAGGTCCATGCCATCATGCCCTACTACTTCTTTTTTTGCATCTTTAGTAGAGATGGGGTTTCACCATGTTGGCCAGGCTGGTCTCGAACTCCTGACCTTGTGATCCACCCACCTTGGCCTCCCAAAGTGTTGGGATTACAGGCGTGAGCCAGCCACTGCACCCAGCCGTTTTTGTTTTGTTTTGTTTTGTTTTGAGATGGCATCTCACTCTATCACCCAAGCTGGAGGTACAGTGGTGCCATCTCAGCTCACTGCAACCTCTGCCTCCAGGTTGAAGTGATTCTCCTGCCTCAGCTTCCCAAATAGCTGAGATTACATGCACATGCCATTACACCCAGCTAATTTTTGTATTTTTAGTAGAGATGGGTTTTCACCATGTTGGCCAGGCTGATCTCGAACTCCTGACTTCAAGTGATCTGCCCGTCTCGGCCTCCCAAAGTGCTGGGATTTGCAGGCATGAGCCACCACGCCTGGCCAAGTTTCTATTTAATGCTTACATATCAGCAGGACTTTTCTTTGATAATCTAACAACCAGACTCCAAACTGAACAAATATTCAATTATTTCTAAAAAGGTATATTAACCTCTATATTAACAATTAGGATTCTCTGAAATAATCTCTAGGTTGCAAAGTAACCAAATATCCCATATACTAGATTCAGGTACTATCTGGAGAAGGAACTGCTCTATATAGAGAAGGTATTATGTGCTAGATAACATACTAAATCCTTTATATTATCCGTTACCTCATTTATCGTTGCTATGAATACATAAAAAGGAAGCTATATCAGCCTAATTTTAAAGATGAGAAACATGAGGCTCAAACAGAGAAGCTGCCTTTTTTTTTTTTCTTTTTTCTTTTTCTAAAGAAAAGGGGTCAGCCGGGTGCGGTGGCTCACGTCTGTAATCCCAGCACTTTGGGAGGCTGAGGTGGGTGGATCACGAGGTCAGGAGTTCAAGACCAGCCTGGCCAACATGGTGAAACCCTGTCTCTTAAAAAAATAAATAATAAAAAAATAAAGAGAAGGGGTCTCCCTCTGTCACCCAGGCTAGAGTGCAGTGGCATCATCATAGCTCACTACAGCCTCAAACTCCTGGGCTCAAGCCATTCTCCCACCTCAGCCTTCCAAGTAGCTGGGGTTACAGGCACATGGCACCACACCCTGCTAATTGTTTTTTAAATTTTTTATTTTTTTTTTATGGACTTGGTCTTGCTATGTTGTCCAAACTGGTCTGGAACTCCTGACCTCAAGGAGTTGCTTGAGGTAGAGGCAACAGCATCTCTGGAGCCCAGTTTGAGACCAAACTGGGCAACATAGTGAGACCTTGTCTCTAAAACAAAAAAATTTGAACAATTAGCCAGATGTGTTGGCACATGACCATACTCCCAGCTACTCAAGGGGCTGAGGTGGGAGGACACCTTGGGCTGGGAGGTGGAGGTTGCAGTGAGCCATGATTATGCCACTGCACTCCAGGCTGGGCAACCCTGTCTCCAAAAAACAAAAAAACCATATACCAATAAGATCAAAAACAGAGAACAGTCAAAGTTCCAAAAATTACCAAGTTTATTTATTGCTTATGTCCCATATCTCAATGGAATGTCTAATCATAAAAATGCTAAAACTGGCCGGGTGTGGTGGCTCATACCTGTAATCCCAGCACTTTGGGAGGCTGAGGCAGGTGGATCATGAGATCAGGAGTTCGAGACCAGCCTGGCCAAGATGGTGAAACCCCATCTCTACTAAAAATATAAAAATTAGCCAGGTGCGGTGGTGGGCACCTGTAATCCCAGCTACTTGGGAGGCTGAGGCAGGAGAATAGCTTGACCCAGGAGGTGGAGGCTGCAGTGAGCCGAGATTTTATGCCACTGCACTCTAGCCTGAGCAACAGAGCAAGAGCCATCTCAAAAAAGAAAATGCTAAAATTAACACATTATTTTTGTTCTTTAGGATGTTCTAATCTCATATTAACCTGATCAGATTTATCATCTAATTCCTCTAAAAGAACGTTTGTCTCTTTTCCGTCCACTTACTATAAGCATATCAATGAGCCCAGTGCTTGAGGCTAAGGTAAAACAACCATTCTTTGTCTCATAAATGATTCTGGGCAATGACAGCACAACAAAGTAAGTACATCCTATAAAATCTTCCTCTTGGTGCCTTCTAATTCCCCTGCCTGGGTAAACTCATCTCAGTAGTGCTCTTGAGCCCATTACTCCACCTGTTAATTCTATTTCTTTCCTCCCTTCTTTTAAGAGACAGGAGTCTCACTATGTGGCCTACACTGGTCTCAAACTTCTGGGCTCAAGTAATCCTGTCTTGGCCTCCCAAAGTGCTGGGATTACAGGCATGAGCCACTGCACCCGGTATGCCGTTTCCAACCTTAAAAAAAAAAAAAAAATTCCCAAATCTTCTCTGATCCCTAAGCCACTGCCTCACTTTCCACGTATAGCATATTCCCAGAGTCTAGTACAGTGCCTGCGATATGTTAGTAAGGATTAAGTACCTCTCTAGGCAATCTCTTTGTGTGATAAAGGGGCCGAAATTTTGTTTCTTTTTTGTTGTTGTTGAGATGAAGTTTCACTTTGTCCCCCAGGCTGGAGTGCAGTGGCCCCATCTCGGCTCACTGCAACCTCCGCCTCCCGAATTCAAGTGATTCTCCTGCCTCTGCCTCCCGAGTGGCTGGGATTACAGGTACGCGCCACACCACACCCAGCTAATTTTTAGTAGAGATGGGTTTTCGCCATGTCGGCCAGGCTGGTCTCGAACCCCTGACCTCAGGTGATCCACCCACATCCGCCTCCCAAAGTGCTGGGATTACAGGCCTGAGCCTCCGCGCCCAGCCCCAAATTTTCGATTATATTCTTAGAAACCTTTTCTTTCCACGCAGAACTCGGCAGCTTCAAACGCTGGGGGTATTCGTAAGTGCCCAGCTGAGGGTGTGAGGCCTGCTCGCTATGCCATCCACTTCGGAGAGATCGCATCGATACTGCCCGCATGGAGGCTTTGCTGGGAACTAGAAATTCTGAGTCCTTCCCTCCCCAGCAGCCCGCTCCTTTCTTCCATAGGACGGTTCGCAGAACAGGGACAGAGGGGCTCAGCGGCCCCTGGACGGAAGACAGTTTATAAAGGAGAAAATGAAGAAGGTGGGTAACAAAATGAGGTGAAAAGAAACGTTCCAACTGTAGAGAGAATGGATAATGATACCGGTTTCCTTCGCCCTGTAAGGAGCCGACCTACCTACAGGACCTCCTTTCCTCACTCGCGCCTTGCCTTCTTCTGGGCAGCGAACACGTTTCTATCGCCCGAGCTATCTCTTCCGGGGTCCCTGAGTAACAACTTCCGGAACAGGACTCGCAAAGCGAGCAGTCATTCTTCCTCTTGCCACACCCACAAGGCCCGCACTAAGAGCCGAACTGAAATCCCGTGAGGATCAACCGAGTTCGCCAAAAGGAGGGAGGAACTTTTGTCTTCTGGAGGCGGTCTCCGGGGGCAAAGCAGGAGACCGGACCGGAAGTGACGTGAAGGCTTCCGGTTGGCCGGAGCCCAGCGACGGGTGTGAGAGTCAGTCAGGAGCCGCTTCCAGGATCCGGAGGAGCCGGGGTCGGAGCGGGTAGGTAAACCAACTGGGGGAAATGGGGACCGAAGCCTGTGGCTGTCCTCAGAGCTTGGCTTCTTCCGGAGCGCTCCTGCTTAGGAGTTACGGAATCTGGAGCGCTGTGATTCCGACTTCCAGCGTGTTACAGGACGCTGCTGACTCTGGATTTCTCACCCTGGTGGTAGCCGGGTTATTTGGGACACCTCCTCATGGTTGGTCACTCGGACACTGAACCCAGACACCGGACTCCCGACTGTTCGTTCTCCTCCCTGCGGACTTGGAAGCCTTACTAGGCTTCTTTAGAGAACCTCCTAGTCCCGGGATGTCCAGGACCTCGTAGTAAGCGGAGAAGGTCTTCCCTGCTGATGACTGAGCTGTTTCTCAGGATCTGTCAGTTTGGTTTTTTTTTGCTCTCCCGAACCTCTAGCGCTTGATGTTAGATGGATTCGCCCCTAAACGAAATCCAGGCTTGCAAATGCCATCTAAAGCGCTGGTGGTACAGGGCAGCCAAGGGAATGGGCCTTCGCTCCGCAGAGCCTTTGGAGAGGAACTTCTCGGAGCTTGCACTGCTTTCATGAAAAAAGAGTTGTCTGCCTTTCCAAACCCCTGACCCCCGACCCCTGTATTTTATTACAGTGTTGGTATTGCAGTAAAACGTAAAGGTCGACTTAATCTCTAAAATTCCAGAAACCATATGTGGCCCAGTGTCACACTGCTAGATTGCTTAGGACCTCCAGAAGATTTTACGCAATCATCTTTTATTTACCTGCAACTCCATGCAAAAATCTAGTAATACACGTAGACTGGCCACAGTTGACGTGTTTTGGCAGCATGGCTCCTTATCCTAATTTTAACGTCTTTCATTTCTCCTTTGGGGCTTGTCAGAGATTTTGTGGACAGACTGCACTGATAATTTGGAGAAGCTTGTACAAGCGTTTCTACTGTTGTTATGATAGAGAATTGAATATTCCAGTTGCTACTACCTATTAATTATATTGTCATTAGCTCTGATTTTAGTTGTGTATTCTTAGCATAGATGATGTAAGGAAGAAACATATTTACTAGGCATCATTGTATGCATTGTAGCTTATATTTTTACTGTGAAGAGGGATGGTGGTACCTAGACAAATGTGACTGGTTTGTGTAGGTATGAAGTGACTCTCTCAAGCAGAAATTTTTTTTTTTTTTGAGACGGAGTTTCACTCTTGTTACCCAGGCTGGAGTGCAATGGCGCGATCTCGGCTCACTGCAA